CCCCGTGACTGCCATGGCGGGCGTCGGGCCCGGGGGCTACGCGGCCGAGTTCGTGCCGCCCCCGGAGTGCCCGGTCTTCGAGCCCAGCTGGGAGGAGTTCACCGACCCGCTCAGCTTCATCGGCCGCATCCGGCCTCTGGCCGAGAAGACCGGCATCTGCAAAATCCGGCCGCCCAAGGTAACCGGGGAGGAAGGAGTGGGGTGTGTGGGGGGGGACGGGAGCCGAGGTGGGGGGGGCAGGGAGCCCTGCGGGCCCCCTCGTGAGACCGTCCCCTCAGGTCCCAACATCTGGGGGCGCCCACAGGGCCTGGCTAGCTTGGGCTTTTTCTTGAGGCCTTCTGGAGGGTTCTGACGGTGGGGGTGGGGGTAACACTCGGACACGGATACCTGTCTCTGGGTTGGGGGGGAAATGAGTATCAAAAGGCACCTGAAGGACAGTCCCCCTTGGGGTTCCCTAGTCCGTCGGCTGCCCGTGTGTCCAGGCCCTGAGCGTGGCCACACTGCTTGCATGCATGCAAGAGTTTCTCTTCTTTCCCTCTCTTGTCTCTTTTCCTTTTTTGATGCTGGGGATCGAACTCAGGACTTGCTAGGCGAGCACTTTGCCATTGAGCTATATTATACATCGCAACCCAAGAGTTTCTTAAAAAGGTAGTCTGGAAGAAAACACACACACACACACACAGCGGTAACCCAAGTTTTCATGGAAGAAAACACACACACACTCACTTGTGCAAGAAAGACCAGGGGAAGATTAAAAAAAAAGTATTGCCTTTTTTTTTTTAAGTTTAGAGGTTTAGGAAGAATGGGTCAGTAATGAAGATGGGGGAGAGAACACGTTGAAATACCTTGGTATAAGGAACTAAGTAAGGAGCAAAGATGTCAGAACTATAATTATTACGAATAACTAGGTTTGTCTGCATGTTGGTTACTTAAAACTGATTATGTGGGTGTGCAGGTCTTGGGGCTTGAACCCAGGGCCTGGCCACTGTCCCTTAAGCTTTTTCTACAGTAGGTTACGTTACCTAGGGCTCAACCAGCTTGAGCCACAGCTCTACTTCCTGCTGTTTGGTGGTTAATTGGATGAGTTTTGTGGTCTTTCCTGCTCAGGTAGGTTGTCTTTGGACCTCCATCCTCAGCCTCCTGAGTAACTAGAATTACAAATGTAAGCCACTAGTACCAGCTTGATTAATTATAATAACTTAAGTAGGTTTTTCACTTTGATGAGGACAGTTAATAACTGGAGGTTGGATGATAGACTCAAGGTCAAAAAAGGTGGTTTCTTTCCACACTGGACTGCTGGACAGTATGCATTAAGATCAACTGGATACGTGTTAAAATGCAGATCTCTGGGCCTTATTAAGAGTGGAATCAACTTCTGCAGGTGGAGGTTATGGACTTTTCACCAGTGTTGTCAAGACAGGGTCTTATTAAGTAGTTCAGGCTGACCTCAAACTTGTGACCCTCCTGCCTCACCTTCTCAAGGGCTAATAAGATTACAGTTGCTTGTCACCATGCCAGGCTTCAGATGACTAGATACAGATGAGAAAGATTGTGAGCCTATCTTTACCTTACACAGTGCTTCTTAAGACATTGTCCTTTATTGCTTTTATAGCAAAGATAGAAATAAGTGCTGTGATCAGTATTGCTTTCTAAAAACTGTCTTCCCTACCAGACAGCCATAGTGAATACCATAGTGAATGAAAAACTTGAGAGGAGTTGATCTAGCACCTTTGGATTGTTTCATTTAATCTTCAAAAAGCCTAGCTTGTAAATAAAGTTCTTATTTTTCAGAAGAGTCAAGTCTACATAAGTTAAAACACTAGCCAGGTGTGTTGCCTTGGGCAAGCGGCAAAGTGGGTCTTGAACCTCATGTTCTTGAATCTATTCTGTGCTCTTCCCACTGTGCTGTTGCTACCTGGAATGGGTTTGCTGAATGCCTTTCCAAATCGTGGATTACCAGCCAAACGTTGCATAGTTGCTGCAATGGTATGCATCACCATCCTCCAAAAGCCTCTACTTTTCTCTGTCACCACCTTCATGTGGACAGAAGCTTAAGCCTTGAAGTTTTTCTCAAACTGTATTTTCATCTACCTCCCAATGCATTTCCTATTCAAAGGTTCTTTTAGATGTTTTCATTTTAAAGGTTATAATTACCACTGTATCCTGGGCTGGCTGTGAACTTGGAATATCCCTGCTTCAGGTTCCTCCAGGCCTACTTATGTGCATACACCACATATGGCTTGTTTAATAATGTATTCTTTATAGGCTACATCATTATTGAACTTGATTACAAGCAGAGTTTAATTTTAACATTAGCAGTAAGTCAAATAAAGAGTATATTCCTTTTGGACAGTGGCACCCTTTCCCTCACTTTCTCCTATATTTACATCTTTTTTTTTTTAAATTTTACCAATCCATACTTACATCTTCGGGATTTGTTTTGTTTGTTTTGTTTTGTTTTTTTTTTTTGAGTCCGGTTATGGGGCCTGAACTCTGGGCCTGGGCGCTGTCCCTTAGCTCTTCAGCTCAAGGCTAGCGTTCTACCACTTGAGCCACAGTGCCACTTCCGGCTTTTTTTCTTTTTTCTTATGTGGTGCTGGGGAATCGAACCCAGGGCCTCATGCATGCAAGGCAAGCGCTCTACCACTGAGCCACCTTCCCAGCCCCATACTTACATCTTTAAAATGGGTTACTAATAGTCCAAATCAAGTTTGTTGGTTTGTTTTTTCTTCTTAGTAGTAGTAGAGTTTGGAGTCAAGGTTTTGGTTTATCAGTGAGGTGCTTTACTATTTCAGTGACCCCTAGTCCTAACTTTTGTTATTTTTCAAATAGGGGCTCCATTTTTGCCTGAGTGATCCCACAGCTTAGTTAGATTTCCCTGGAATAGCTGGGATGACAGAGCAGCTTGGATGACAGCTTCCTGTTACAGCTCATTGCTTTGTATTTTTGGCTGAGATGGAGTTTTGGAAACTTGTGGTTCAAATCCCAGCTTCTTAAGTGGGTAGGATTACCGATGTGAGTCACTACACTTGGCTTTATAGCACAATCTGGAAGGTTTCCTTGGTCTGTGGACTTGCTTTTTTTTTTTTTTGGAAGGTAGGAGGTTTTAAAATTTGAGCTGAGGGTTTCTTGCTTGCTAAGCAGGTGCTCTACCACTGAGCCATGCTTCCAGCTCTGTTTTTCAACAGTTTTTTTTTTTTTTGGGTCCGGTTATGGGGCCTGAACTCTGGGCCTGGGCGCTGTCCCTCAGCTCTTCAGCTCAAGGCTAGCACTCTACCACTTGAGCCACAGCGCCACTTCCGGCTTTTTTCTTTTTGCTTATATGGTGCTGAGGAATTGAACCCAGGGCCTCAGGCATGCAAGGCAAGCGCTCTACCACTGAGCCACCTTCCCAGCCCTCAACAGTTATTTTTAAGCTAAGGTTTTGCTTTGTGCCGAAGTGCTCTCCTGGACTACAGTCTGCCTATTACATACAGACTTCTGTAGTTGCTAGGTGACAGATATATAACACCCAGATCCATCTTCCCAACATTGAGATAGAATCTTGTGACCTTTTCGGTCCTGTCTGGCCTGGAACTACAGCACCACAGTCTCTACCTCCCAAGTAGTTCAGGGTGACAGGAATGCACCACTATGCCAGATTGTGGGTTGAGAAGGGGTCTCATTGACCTTGCTGCCCAGGCTGGTCTACAGCATCAATCATTGTTCTTAGCCTCCACACTTGCTAGGATTAGAGACAGGAGACACCGACAGGGTCTGTTCCCTTTCAGAGAATATATTTGGGTGCCCAGAAGCTGGCCTTTTAACATAACATTTGTTTAGCATAGATTTTAATATATTTATAAATACTGAAAAGCCTATAAATACCTTCAAAACATTTCTTTCTAATTTTTGTCCTTTTAAAACTGTTTTTTTTCTTTTGGTTTGTTGGACACTTGTGGTACGTGAGCTCATTACATTCTTCTTGATTAACTTTGGAAAGCATAATTGTGGAATGTAAATAGCAGAACTGGTGAGATCTAGGATTGCTTCCTCAAGTGTAGTACTAAAAAATGAAGACATATATGCTAATCTGCTGTCACTGTGGTTTGTGGCAACTCATCCCTTATTAAAGGGAATAAATAGCGGACTCCTTGATCATATAGAAAAATTTTTCTGTCTAGGATTGGCAGCCTCCGTTTGCATGTGAAGTAAAATCCTTCCGTTTTACTCCTCGAGTCCAGCGACTGAATGAACTTGAGGTGAGTATAGCAACATCAGTTTTGCTTCTAAGTTTTGTCATGCATGCTAAGCAAACACTTTACTACTGACCTGCAGCCCGCCATGTGTTCTTCTGATGCCTTGTGTTAGAGCTCTATGGAGAGAACTTTCAGAAGTTCATGTGTCAGGGCCCAAAATATGGGTTAACTGGGATTTATTTATTTTTGTGCCAGTTCTGGGGCTTGAATTTAGGGCCTGGGCAGTGTCCCTGAGGTGTTTTGGATATTTTTTCTTTTGTTTTCCTTTAAGGCTGTACCACCTAAGCCACATCTCCACTTCTGGCCTTTTGCTGGTTAATTGGAGGTAAGATCCTCAGATCTTAGCCTCCTGAGGAGATAGGATTTACAGGTATGAGCTACTGGCACCCTGGTCTCCTCTATGGTCTTAAAATATTTTTTTCCTGGGGCTAGGAAGGTGGCTCAGTGGTAGAGTGCTTACCTTGTATGCATAAGGCCCTGAATTTGATTCCTCAGCACCACATAAGCAGAAAAAGTAGAAGTGGTGCTGTGGCTCAAGTGGTAGAGCGCTATCCTTGAGCTGAAGAGCTGAGGGACAGCGCCCAGGCCCAGAGTTCAGGCCCCAGGACTGGCAAAAATAAATAAATAAAATTCCTGAGCTGTTAGTGATTTTTCTGTTTGTCTCTTGTAATTAAATATTAAGCATATTATCAGTTAGACAGTTTCTATACCATGTGTATATACTAGAGAATAAGTCACAGGACTAAAATGCTTAGAAAATAATTTGACTAAAATTTCCAGTTACCACAGAGTTAAGCTAACTAAATGTTGAGTTGCTAATGAAAGTTTCTTTTTGTTGTTGTTGGTACTAGTACTGGGACTTGAACTCAGGGCCTAGGCACTGTCCCTGAGTTTTATTGCTCAAGGTTAGTGCTTAACCACTTGAGCCACAGCTCCATTTCCAGCTTTCAGTGGTTAGAGATAGGAGTTTCATGGGCTTTCCTGCCCAGGTTGGCTTTGAACTGTGATCTTCAGATTTCAACCTCTTTTGAGTATCTAGGATTTCACAGGCCTGGCTGCCTATTTATTAAGGTAACTGCCTGAATGAGTAAAGTTTTATTAGAAGTATTTTGCCTCTTTACTATTGGTGGTGGTGGTGATGGTGTGGGAGGTTTGTTTAGACTAAGCAATAATGAAACCTTTGAGGTTCTTTACAGGAACGAGCATCTTTAGCATGGTTAAGGCTTACTTATTTTCAGATATTACAGTTTCTATTTCTAATTTCTGTACTTGTCTACTCTCAGGCAATGACCAGAGTGAGACTGGATTTCTTGGATCAACTGGCAAAATTTTGGGAACTTCAAGGATCTAATCTGAAGATACCTGTGGTGGAAAGAAAAATCCTAGATCTCTATGCATTGAGCAAGGTAAGACTTGTGTTTACTTATGAAGTGAGCAAGGGGCTGGAATGTAGCTTATTGGTGGAGGGCATACTTAGGAAATGCCAGGTTCTATAACCTGCAAAACATACACATGCACACTTGCTAGGCTCCAGTCTTGTAACTTCTTGCCTTTGCAGTTTTCTAAGTTCTGATGTCATGTCCCTCTAGCCTTCGTTGTGTTTACCTCTGTAATAACTGTACAGTTGCCAGATGCTCAGTTGTCTTTTTGCTTCAAGCACATGGCACAAACCCACATTCAGCAGCAAAGGGACATAAAAATGGGAGGGCCGTAGTCCAGGCTGCATAAAGCAAGATCTTCTCTTGAAAATAACCAATACGCTGAGTAATATTCCTCTCTGTGTGCATATGCTTAGCTTTCTCACGTGTGTATTGTACAGAGTACAAATGAATTTTTTTTGTGGTTTTAGTATTGTACCCTTGAATTTACGTCCTCGTGCTCCTGCTGTTTTTGTTGTTGTGCAAGCCTGGTGCTCTACCACTTGAGCCACAGCTCTGCTTGTGACATGGAGTTAAATGGAGATAAGAGTCTCAAGGAGCCAGGCACTGGTGGCTCATGCCTATATAATCTTAGCTACTCAGGAGGCTGAGATCTGAGGATCACGGTTCAAAGCCAGCCCAGGCAAGAAAGTTCATGAGACTCTTATCTCCTATAAACTACTCAGAAAAAGCTGGGAGTTGTGCTGTGGCTCAAATGGTAGAGTTCTAGCCTTGAGTAAAAAAGAAGCTCAGGGACAGTGCCCAGGCCTAGAGTTCAAGCCCCCAGAGTGAGGAAAAAAAAAAAAAAAGAGTTTCAAGGATTTGTCTGGCTGGGCTGGCTTCAAACCATGATTCTCAGATCTCCACATTCTGAGTAGGTAGAATTATAGGTGCCCATCTTTACTAAATGTCCTTTAATATCTTTTTTTTGAAATTAGGACAATGTTATTGGTGAAATTTTAGAGTTTAAAATCTCCAAAACCTTTGTGTCTACTTTAAGTAGTAGCACATACTAGTTAAAAGGGAATTTGAAGCCTAAGCCTAGAATTGCTTTTTTTTTTTAATTTAATTTTATTTGTGAACATACTGTACAGAGGGGTTACAATTACATGGGCAGGATAATGCGTACATTTCTTACCAAACATTGCATCCTCCTCCTTTGTTTACCCTTCACATCCCTTCCCAGCCTCCCCCCTCCCCCCCCAACCCCATCCTTCTCCCCCCCCCCCCCCCCCCCCCACCGACGTTGTAAAGCTCGTTTTGGACATGACAACTTGTACTTCTCATTGCAGGTCCACCTGTATCCTTAAACAACTGGTTTTTCCCCATCTCCTCAAGTTATACTGACATCAAATACAGTGAAAGCAGGGGTTATACTGTGGGGGAGGGTAGAATTGCTTTTATATTTAACAGACATGATGTATTATGCTGGAATCTATCTCTGTTCCTTCACTGAGGTTCTGTTTCCTTTTCAGATTGTTGCCAGTGAAGGAGGATTTGAAATGGTCACCAAGGAGAAGAAATGGTCTAACGTCGGGAGCCGCTTGGGATATCTACCAGGAAAAGGAACTGGATCTCTTCTGAAGTCCCACTATGAAAGAATTCTCTACCCCTATGAGCTATTCCAGTCTGGTGTCAGCCTAATGGTGAGATGCGTCATTGTTCCTAGAGGATAGATCCAGGTTTTCAAGTAGGAACTTTAGACTGTGTTCTCCACAAGTCAGGTGGGATGCATAACAAGGTGGAATAGATTTCTCCAGGTTCCAGCATTTGGAGAGCAAAGAGTAGTAGTTAAAAATAATAGCTGTTTCTGGTGGTTTACAAGACAAAACAATGGGAATTGAAGGATGTTTTCTTATTATAAGCCTTTATGTGTTAAGGGTTTTGAAATTTTCTTCCTGTTTATTTCACAGGATCTCATCTCCCAGGCTGACTTTGAGCTTGTCGTGCGTGTGTGTGTGTGTGTGTGTGTGTGTATGTGTGTATTTGAGCTTGTCGTGTGTGTGTGTGTGTGTGCGCGCGCGCACGCGCGCGCTGACTTAAATTCAGGGCCTGGGGGCTGGCCCTGAGCTCTTTTGCTCAAGGCTAATGCTTCACCACTTGAATCATAGCTCCACTTTGGGCTTTTTGTTGGTTAATTAGAGATGAGTTTCACAGACTTTCCTTGTTTGGGTTGACTCTGAATTGTGATCTTCAGATTTCAGTTTTCCTGAGTAGCTAAGATACAGGCATATGCCACTGGCACCTAGCTGACCTTGAAATTGTGATCCTCCTCCCTCAGCTTCCTAAATGTTGGGATTACAGGTCTAAGCTACCGTGCCCAAATCTGGTTTCCTACTTACAAGTCCTTCCCTAACACTAGATCACTAAGATTTTCTTCTTTGTTTTTGTGTAGTTTCGTAATTTTGGTTTTTGTACTTAGGTCCATGATGTATTGAGTCAGTTTTGGGGAGGCAGAATAGAGTGGTAAGGGTGTAAATTCTCTCTCTCTCTCTTCTCTCTCCTCTCTCTCTCTCTCTCTCTCTCTCTTTCTTTTTTTCTTTCTTTCTTTTTGTTGGTGGGTAAGAATAACTTGTACAGCACTATTTTACGAGAGTATTCTTTTCCCAATGAAATGAGCTATTAATTTTGTGAAGTATCAGTTGATTATAAATGTGTGGACTGACTTCTGGACTTCACTGTCCCATTGATCTATCTATAGTAGGCCCCCACTCCCCAGGTCTGGTTTCACTTTCACTGAGTAATTGCTCTGAAAATGTGCAGTGGAAAATTTCAAACATAAATACTTCATAAGTTTCATATTGCATGCACGATGAAATCTGTGTTCTTCTGCCGTAGTTGTGAATCATTTCTTTGTCTCTAGTAACCATCTCAGTTTTTAGATCTGTTGTTGGTGTTATTACAGTGCTGTGTTCAAATCACCTTCACTTTACTACGTAATGGCCCCAAATTTGAGAATAGTGATGCTGGAATTCAGATCTGCTGCAGAGAAGCTGCACGGTGCTCTCAGAGTGTAGGTGGAGAGGAGAAAGGACCAGGAGATGCTTTGGAGTGAGAGAGAGACCACATTCACATGACTTACTGTAGTATGTTGTTGTAATTGTTTTGTTTCAGTATTGTTAATTGTTGCTAATTTTTATGCCTAATATATGAATTAAACCTAATCATGGGTATGCATGTGTAGAAGAATCGTGGGATGTGTAGGGTGTGGTACTTCTATGTTTCTGGCATCCTCAGGGATCTTAGACTTCAGGTACACAGAGAAACTGTCACATATGTTTGCCCTAGAACCAATACCAGGCCATATTGTGCATTGTAGTTTTATAGTAAATTTTGATACTCAATAATTAAGCCCCCTTAATTTTTTCAAGTCTTCAAAATTTCCAAACAGTTGTAACTTTTCACATAAATTTTAGAGTCAGCTTTCAGTTTCTATAGAAATATTGGGTTTTGATAGTTCAGTTCAAGGGAGAATGATGATTTGATTTCATGTAGGCATAGGAAGTTACTGGAAATATTTTCTTTTTTTTTTTTGTTCAGTCATGGGGCTTGAACGCTGGGCCTGGGCACTGTCTCTCAGCTCAGGGCTTTACCACCTGAGCCACAGCGCCATTTCTGGTTTTCTGGTGGTTTATTGGAGATAAGAGTTTCACGGCTTTTCCTGTCCAGCCTGGCTTTGAACTGCGATCCTCATATCTCAGCTTCCTGAGCAGCTAGGATTACAGGCATGAGCCACTGGCGCCCAGCTGGAAATTTGTTTTCTTCTTCACTGTTTCTCAAACCTGGTCTCTTATCAGTGAAAACTGCTGTTTTTCTGTAATCTGACCTTTTAGGGTGTGCAGATGCCTACTTTAGAAATGAAGGAGAAAGTGGAGCCTGAGGTCCTCTGCCCTGATACTCAGACTTCCCCAGAGTCGGGAGCAAGAATGAACATCCTGCCAAAAAGAACAAGACGTGTCAAGTCCCAGGTATCAACATGCATAGGACATTTTTTGTTGTGGTGATGGTTTGTTTGTGCTGGTACTGGGGCTTGCACTCAGGACCTGTTGACAGTCCTTTAGCTTTTTGACTCAAGGCTGGTCCTCTACAACTTCAGCCACAGCTCTATTTCCAACTTTTTTTGGTGGTTAATTGGAGATAAGAGTCTTGCAGATTTTCCTGCCTGAGCTGGTTTGGAACCTTGATCCTCAGATTTCAGCCTCCTCATTAGTAGGATGACAGGTGCCAGCCAACAGTGCGTGGCTCTGGGCCGTGCTTAACAGGAGGTTTGTGGACATAGGGAAGCCATTCATACGCTGTTAGCCTTGAGAAGACACATCCTTCATCCATTCATCTTTCCATTTCTTTTTTCTTATTCTGATTGAGGTCACACGCCCAGATATTAAAATCTCACTCAGATATGCATATATGTGTGTATATAGTATGCACATGTGTTTATGTAAGGCTTTGTGTATGTGTTTAGAGACATCCTCTTTATATAATCCAGACAGGCCTAGAACTTGCCGTGTAGCCCAAGCTAGCCTTGTGTACTCACAGACTTTCGGCCTAGTATTGTGATTGCTGAAATTATAGGTGTGTGCCAGCATGCCAGACTTTTTAAGGTTTGGGTTTAAGGTTCAAAGCCAGCCTGGGCTTTGAACTTGATCCTCAGACCTCAGTCTCCCTAGTAGCTAGAATTACAGGCATGAGCCTGGCTAAGAATTTTTTCTTAAGTATTTATTTTTATTCAGTAGCTGTACAAAGAGTGTTAGCTGCAGAAGTCAGGCTATCACCTTGATCGGTGTCATCCTCCATCCTTCCCCTCAGCTTTCCCCACCCATCACTCAGTCCCATTTTACAAAATAGCATTGTATAGAATGACTGCGTTTGCTTGCCTACTCCCCTTCATGTACCAGTCTTCTTCCTCTCCCTTCCCCTGAACATGTTTCCGCTTCCTAGTATTCATTTTGCTAAGTGGTTTGTTAGTTGTTCAGAGGAGTTATTTTACTGGACTCCTCCCTGAAGTGTACCATTCTTTAGCAGATTTGTTTGTGTGTATGTGCATATGATCCTGTATAGGATTTGTATTTAGATCCAGCGTTCAGATTCGAGAGAAAACATAACCCCTTGTCACTCTGAGCCTGACTTTTGTATATTGTAATTTTTTTCTAGGTCTTACCTATTTCTGTGCAAAATGACATTATTCTTCCTGCTAGATGAGTAAAATACCGTTTTATGTATACCACATTTTTTTGATCCACTGGTCTGTTCTAGGACATCAGGGCTGTTTCTGTAATTTGGCTCATGACTAGTGCTGCTGTGACCATGGATGTGCAGGTGTCTTTACCATATTCTGACTTGTAATAGTCTGGGTAGCTGCCCAGAAGTGGTGGTGTTGGATCATAGGGTAGTTCTGTGTTTAGATTTTGAGGAGTCTCCAAACCTCCACCCAGAGTAGTTGCATTAGTTTACATTCCCACCAACGGTGTAATAGAGTTCCTCCCCTGCCTCTATCCACTCCCCCCATCCTTGTCAGCATTTCTTATTGTTTGCATTCTTCATGATGGACAATCTTTTTTTTAAAAATTGTTACTGTAAAGGTGATATACAGAGGAGTTACGGTTATATGTCATGTAAAGAATATTTATTTCTTTTTTTTGGACAGAGTCACCCTTTCCTTCACTTTCCCCTAGTTACCCCCTCCTGTCTCTGCCCACAAATTATATAGTTCATTTTGCATACTCAGTATTGTTTTGGTTTGCATTTCTTTTATAGCTAGAGATGTTGAGGAGTTTCTCAAATGTTTATTGGCCATTCTTGCTTTTTCTCCTGAGAAGTTTCTTGATTCCTTTGCTCATTTATTAGTTGAGCTACTGATTTGGTATGGAGGTATTTTCTTGAGCTCCTTATTTATTCTAGTTAGATATTAGGCGCTTATATGACTAGGTGGTAAAGGGGCTGGGAAGCTGGCTCAGTGGTAGAGTGCTTGTCTTGCTTGCATGAGGCCCTGGGTTTGATTCCTTAACACCACATAGACAGAAAAAGCTGGAAGTGGTGCTGTGGCTCAAGTGGTAGAGCACTAGCCTTGAGCTGAAGAGCTGAGGGACAGCGCCCAGGCCCAGAGTTCAAGCCCACAATGGACCAAAAAAAAAAAGAATAGGTGGTAAAGATCTTCTGTTCTGTAGACTGTCTTTTTTTTTTTTAAAAGTATAATTAATATTTTATTAAGTGTTAACAATAAAAATTACAGTAGACTGTCTTTTTAACTTAGTAATTGTTCTTATCTGTGCAGAAACTTTTTAGTTCGATGCAATCCCATTTATTCCAATTTGCTGACCCTTAAGGCTATTTTAATAAACAAAAGTATTATTTAATTCAGGAAAAAGGTAAACAACATACTGACCTGTAGAACTTGTATATTATAGAAGGAAAGTATCAAAGGGAAGAGGGATAAAACATGGCTTTCCTAGGTATATCTTGATTTTCCCTCCCTCCCTCCCTCCCTCCCTCCCTTCTTCCTTTTCTTGTCTTTTTTTTTTTTTTTTTTTTTGTTGGTTGTGGGACTTGAATCTCTGGGCCTTGGCACTATCCCTCAGCTCTTCATCTCAGTGCTACTTCCAGTTTTCTAAGTGGCTTATTGGAGATGAGTCTCACAACCTTTCCTGCCTGGGCTGGCTTGGACCGTGATCCTCAGATCTCAGCCTCCTGAGTAGCTAGGATGACAGGTGTGAGCCACCACTCCCGGCATTGTCTTTTCTTAAGTACAAGAAAGAACTTTCTCAGTAGCTGACGGTGTACTTTTCAGCCTGTATAAAGGGCCATACCAATAATCAAATAAGTCATTGGTAATGGAATGGAATTACTCTTTTTAAGCATAAGCCCTTATACTTGGTAGGCAGAAGCTCTGCTGCCTGAACTATGCTCTTACAACCCCTTTTTTTGCATTAAGCTATTTTGTGATCTTTGCCTCCCAAGTAGCTGGGTAAGATAACAGGTGTAAAGCACCTCACCAGGTGGATTGGAATTATTCTTGAAAGCCACTGAGTACAGCTCACTCAGAACAGATGACCTGTTGGCAGTATTGTGTCCTGGGATCAGTCTATAGCATAGAAAACAAAAAGGAAAGAAAGAATATGTCCAGGAGAAGAGAATGGAATCAGCTTCCCCTGAGACCAAAGTTAACTGGGAGCCAGAAATTTTTGCCATTTGAATTACAGGACCCAAGACACAGGATTATTTTCTTTAACTTGGTGGCTCAACTTTGAAAAATTGTCCTAGCTGTTGGAGTTCAAGGCCCCAGCAAGACAGCAAGAACTTCTATCTTGGAAATGAATTAGATAACTGTGCTGATATGAGTTTTGTTTTTATTTTTTAGTCAGACTCTGGAGATGTGAATAAAAACACAGAACTGAAGAAACTCCAGATTTTTGGAGCTGGACCCAAAGTTGTGGGTCTAGCAATGGGAGCAAAAGATAAAGAAGGTAAATTCTTTTATTGGTCTTGAAGTACAACAATATGTTTGTAAAAAGATTCAAATGATACTTGCATTTCAGATTGTGCTGGGAATTCAGAATTGTAAACTTGAGACATGGTTTCTAGGTAAACTGTCTTCTTTACAGCAAATACCTTGATGTTAAGATGTGAAGAGCAATTAGCATGTTGAATTTTTACAGTTTTAGAATTTCCTTCTCCATGTGTACTATTACAACGAATTCATTGCAGCTTTAAAATGCTAGTTTAGTTCCACCCATAATGGTGAAGGTACAGGTTTTCACCTAGTGATCTGAGGTTCAAATTAAAAGGGAAATAGAGGGGCTGGGAAGATGGCTCAGTGGTAGAGTGCTTGCTTTGCATGCATGAGGCCCTGGGTGCAATTCCTCAGCACCACATAAGCAGGAAAAAAAAGCCGGCAGTGGTGCTGTGGCTCAAGTGGTAGAGCGCTAGCCTTGAGCTGAAGAGCTGAGGGACACCGCCCAGGCCCAGAGTTCAAGCCCCACGACTGACAAAAACAAAGAACACAAAAAATGGGAAATAGAGGGTCCGTAGACTTAATACAGGGAAGAACTTGTAGCTTTTAAATTCTAACCATCATTTAAGTTTAAAAAATAATTGATTGCCCTTGATAAATTATACCATTTACTCGTTTTCTTTGAAATGCCTAGTTCTTTTCAGCTTTGCATGTTGGAAACTTTTGTGAGTAGAACTGCTAATGCAGAAATCAAGTTCCTGTTCTCCCTATGTGCTGTGTCAATGTAAAAGCTCATTCAACACGGAGCAGCTGGGCATGTTTTGACATACAGTTATAAGGATTAATGAAATACTAATCGCATCTCTTAGGCATTTATGATAGGAAAAGTCAAATCATATAATTCAGATTGTGAACAGAACTGTAGAAGATCAGATAATGCTGTTCCACACTCAGAACGTTTAATGTGGTAGAATTTGCTAAGTACATTATAATGGTTTTTGTGGCCCTTCTGAGAATTAAGTACACTTCCTTTGTCATTTGTGGTTACTGTGTTGGCTCGCAGTGATCCCACAAATGATTGTGAATCCCTTGAGTTGTGAGTGTGGACATGTGTGTAGGTGCTGCATACCTGCCCACTGCACACATGCTGCAGTGCAGCACCGGTGGATAAACTCTAGCTGGGGCTTGGTTGTCTGGATTAGAATCCAAACTCACCACCAGCTGGCTGTGTGATTTTAGCACCTATGTGATTTTTGTATACCTTTAACCTGAGATAATTTAGCTCAAAGTGTTCTGAGATTAACTGAAGTAATTTTAAATAGTGTCTGGTCCATAGTAAGCTCTCAACATTAGTTTTTACTATTACTATATAACTTTTTATTTCAAGATGAGGTCACCCGAAGACGAAAAGTTACCAACAGGTCAGACGCATTTAACATGCACATGAGACAACGGAAAGGAACTCTGTCTGTTAACTTTGTAAGTGCTTTGGGATGTGTCAGGAGGGAAAGGATTTGTTTCATTTCAGTTTTGCTCTTTTTAGCTTGATAAATCCTGGTGTGCTGTTTACTTAGCTCATGAGGTTACGAGACCTGGTGGCAAAAACAGAGCTAGAGCTTCGGTGTTTGTGTGATGTAACCTTGCTTTGTCTCGTGTACGTATAGACTGTCTGCCCTGACTCATATGCCTGTGGGTGATAATAAATGAGAAGGTGATAGAAATCCGTGGAGAGTCGGCCGCCATTCTTGTGGAGCCCAGCGTCCACCTCTGTGGCACCAGTCAAGTGTAGACTGAAAATCTACACTTGTCATCACTATTCCCTGAATAGTGTAGTAGCACAGCTGTGTTTGCTATTAAGAATGATCTAGTGGTGACTGAGTATAAATGTGAGGGTGTGCATCACTGTTTACGTACATCCTACCCCATCTTAGATGAGGGGCTTGAGTATCGGTGGGTTTTGGTATCCATGGGACTGGGTGGGTGGGGGCCTGGAACAGATCCTGCAGATACCAAAGGTTCTCATACTACATCTAGGAAAGCAGTGTTCCAGGCAGTTCTCAGTTCTCCTCCTGTACCAAACGTATTCGTATACAGGAAAAGGAATGGTGTTTTTAAAACAAATGGATTTGCGTTCTTGATTCTAATGACCTGATTTACTTGTATTTGCTAGAAGTCCTAGAGGTAAATATAGGAAGTGTTATTAAAAGAATGTTGAAGTGTTGTTTGAAATAGATTTCAGGATTTAAGTTACATTTGCTTTTAGTGTACATTTTAACAAAACAGGTTGTGGAAAAACAGTGTTTTCTATCATGGAAAGTAGACTTGGGTCTTTACTTATTTTAACAGGTTGATCTGTACGTGTGTATGTTTTGTGGTCGGGGAAACAATGAGGACAGGCTGCTTTTGTGTGACGGATGTGACGACAGCTATCACACGTTCTGTCTCATTCCACCGCTGCCCGATGTGCCCAAGGGAGATTGGAGGTGTCCTAAGTGCGTTGCTGAGGTATGGGCCTAGGAGCAGTAATGCATGTGACATGTGCAAATACACTCCTAAAGCTGAGAATGTAGCCATGTGGCAGCTTGTCTCCAAAGCTTTTTCTGACGCCTGGCTGCATCATTCTATATATTCTTCAGTTGAGGGAGACTTGTGATTAGATAATTCATAATGCAACACTAAAGAGGAAGAAACATTATAGCTTTTGTTTGTGTTTCCTTTTTTTTTTTTTTTTTTGGGTCTGGTCGTGGGGCCTGAACTCTGGGCCTGGGCGCTGTCCCTCAACTCTTCAGCTCAAGGCTAGCGCTCTACCACTTGAGCCACTGTGCCACTTCCGGCTTTTTTTTCTTTTTGCTTATGTGGTGCTGGGGAATCGAACCCAGGGCCTCATGCTTGCAAGGCAAGCGCTCTACCACTGAGCCACCTTCTCAGCCCCTTGTTTGTGTTTTCTACCAGTATTGGGGTTTGAATTCAGGGCCTTGCACTTGCTCAATTGGTGCTCTACCACTTGAGCTCTGCTTTGTGCTGGTTATTTTGGAGGGTGTGTGTGTGTGTGTGCACATATATATGTATACCACATTTTATTGGTCCATTCTTCTGGTATAGGGCATCTGGGCTGTTCCCACGTTCTGGCCATGGTGAATAGTGCTGTATGGTATGCAGGTGCCTTCATTGTGTCCTGTGCCCAGGAGTGGTATTCCTGCGTCATCTACCTGAGAGTGGTACTCTGGTCAGTACGGTCTCTGGGAGTTAACCTTAGACATGTTTTTCTGTCTAGGAGTGTAACAAACCCCGAGAAGCTTTTGGATTTGAACAAGCTGTACGAGAATACACGCTTCAGAGTTTTGGGGAGATGGCAGATAACTTCAAGTCTGATTATTTCAATATGCCAGTCCATGTAAGTTACTGTTTTTTTCTGTCCATTTGGAGAGGTTCAAAGTGTAAATAGAACCTTAGTTGATCATTTTTAATATTTTGTGGGAAACAGGGACCAAGTGCAAAAGATGAGAGAACATTGAATCTTAAAATGAAGGATTTGGGCCAGGTGCCAGAGGCTTGAGCCCCTAGTTACCACCTAGCTACTTTGGAGGCTGAGATCTGAGGATTTCTGTTCAAAGCTAGCCTGGGAGGGAAATTCTGTTGAGACTCTTATCTCCAGTAAACTAAAAAGGCTAGAAGTGAAGCTATGTGTGGCTCAAATGGTGAAGTGCTAGCCTTGAGCAAAAGAAGCTTAGGGCCAGTGCCCAGGCCTTGAGTTCAAGCCCTAGGACCTGCACAAATATAAAAATAAGGGGTTTGGCATCTTTTGTTGTCTTTATATGGTACTTCATATTCTCTTGTTATGAAACCCTTCTGATGTTTGTTCTGTAAGCTTTCTGTGAGTAATCCTTTACTGAAAAACTGAAGTATTTGGCTGGTGCTGTTTATCATTACTTGTAACGTGGGGTTTGCTTCTTTCCCTAATGGATCCTGGGCCTGTTTGAAAGTTTTGGCAGAAGTAAGGCTCAGCCTTGCTTTGTCACTTCCGTGCTTCACATGGAAGTTCTGTTCATCTTTGTCCTGAAGAAAGAAGCAACTTTTTCCAGCAAAAGGCAATTCAGATTCATTGTATTTCTGAATGTAAAGGTTATCTTTAGCTTTTCCCTGCTGTCATTGTGAAAAGGTAGGACCCTGGTTGTTTTGCCTGGGAAATGCGAAGATTTGTAAAAATGTCATCTTGTGTTCACTTGGGTTGGGCTGTGTATTGTTTCAGTGAGTCAGCAGTGTGTCATTTTTGTTTGCCTGTGTAGATGGTGCCTACAGAGCTAGTGGAGAAGGAGTTCTGGAGGCTGGTGAGCAGCATCGAGGAAGATGTTATTGTAGAGTATGGTGCTGACATCTCCTCAAAGGACTTCGGAAGTGGATTTCCTGTCAAGGATGGTCGGAGGAAGATGTTCCCAGAGGAAGAGGTGTGTAGAAACCTACCTTTCTCTAATCCTAGATATGATTCAAACAAAAGTCTTCAGTCTTATGGACAAGGCAAAATACTTTTTAAAAAATGACTGCCTTGGGCTGGGAAGTTGGCTCAGTGGTAGGGCCCTTGCCTTGCATGCCTGAGGCCCTGGGTTCGATTCCTCAGCACCTCATAAGCAAAAAGAAAAAAGCCGGAAGTGGTGCTGTGGCTCAAGTGGTAGAGCGCTAGCCTTGAGCTGAAGAGCTGAGGGACAGCGCCCAGGCCCAGAGTTCAGGCCCCACAACTGACCAAAAAAAAAAAAAAAATGACTGCCTTTTAAAAGCTAATTTGCTTTAAAACTTCTTTCATGTGTGCATATGTATACATGTATTTTTGGCAGTGGTGGGGTTTGAGCTCAGGGCCTCATACTTGCTTGGCTTGCTTGCTTGGCTGATGCAGTGCCATTTGAGTTACACTTCTAAGCCTGCTTTTTACTGAGTGTTTTGGAGATGGAGTCTTACGTACTTTTTTGCCCTCACTGGCCTTGACTTGTAATCTTCTCAGCCTTCTTAGTTGTTAAGATTATAGGCATGAGGCTAGCACCTGGCTACTGTTTCCTATATTTTAAAGTATGACTCTCCTTTCTGCTCTTTGACCTGCCAGACTTTAGAATGTAAACTGAAAAAATTCTTTTGGGTTCTTGGGGAGTTAACCCATAACTTTGTACATGCTAAACGTGTGCTCTACTGCAAAACTATATTTAAAACTAATACGTATTATATAATTACTTTGGTATAGACCTTAACTTCAGCTCGCTGCCAAGTCAACCAAAATCTGTGGAGTAGAATGTGTTGAGCCCCTCCTTCCCTCTGACAGGAATATGCGCTTTCGGGCTGGAATTTGAACAACACGCCCGTCCTGGAGCAGTCCGTTCTCGCGCACATTAACGTGGACATTTCTGGCATGAAGGTGCCTTGGCTCTATGTGGGGATGTGTTTCTCTTCTTTCTGCTGGCACATTGAAGATCACTGGAGCTACTCCATTAACTACTTGCACTGGTAGGTGTAGTTCTCTGTGTAGCATGTGCATCTAGAGGCCTTTTTTGGTACTGGGGATAGAATCCAGGGTCTCACACATCTTGAATACATGCTCTACCACTGACCTCCGGTCTTTTTTGAATATGTAATAATGTTAACATCTATATATAATATATTAGGGAGACTGGCTTAAAAAGTATTTACTACCCAAAAGGAAGATCGTATGGTGGGGAAAGGATGAGAAGTGTCTCAGCCACCTTAATTTATAAATCATGTGCAAGTAGCAAAACCTAGTCTAGAGTTTTAGAGTATGTGATGTGTGTGTGTGTGCATACCTGCACATGTGTGTAGCATGTGAGTGTGTTGTCAGAGGAATTGTACACTAACCCTGTGAGCTACATCCTCAGCCTAATTTTTTGTTAATGCTAGTACTGGTGCTTGAACTCATGGCCTGGCTGCTGTCCCTTATTTTTTTTCGTGGCACTCTACCACTTGAGCCACCACTTCATTTCCAGCTTTTTAGTGGTTTTTTTGTAGGTAAGAGTCTTAAAAACTTTACTGTTTGGTCTGGCTTTGAACTGTAATCCTCGAGTCTCAGCCCTGAGTAGCTGGGATTATGGATCTGAGCCACTGGCCACCTACTTCCAGCCCAATTCAGATGAATCTTGATAATTAAAAAATCAGATGTGTAAAGTTTATATAAAGACCATACTAACCTTCACCACATAAATTCTGAAAAAGTTGGTTTTTTCCTTCTCTCTTTCTTTCTGGTACTGAGGTTGAAGTCCCAGAGCTTGGAGCACCTCTAGCACTAAAATGTTTCTTTTTTTGCGGGGGGGGGGGGGGGGGGGGGCGCTGTCCCTCAGCTCTTCAGCTCAAGGCTAGCGCTCTACCACTTGAGCCACAGCACCACTTCCGGCTTTTTTCTTTTTGCTCCTGTGGTGCTGAGAAATCAACCCAGGGCCTCAAGCATGCAAGGCAAGCACTCAACCACTGAGCCACCTTCCCAGCCCCTAAAATGGTTCTTTCAGTAGTATTTTCCCTTAAAATATCCAAGTTATGTTTGGTCTTTAAGTTGATTTGCTGTTTTTTAATCTCAGTTTTATGTAACCAGTTTCTTCCACTATATTATGATATTACATCTTAACTAGATATTTTTCTTTTCATTGAAGATCATAGTTAAGTGGCTCTCCCCTATTGCTGTGCTGTGTGGTAGCTGCTAGCTTCTGTGTTTACTCAAGCTAGTTAAGTTTAAGTAGAATTACAGACTTGCAGCTGCCATTGCACTGTCCTTATGAGGTGAGTTGCGTGTGACCAGGAGCCACTGCATGTTCCAGCAAACAGAATCTCCTCAGAAACTCTGTTAGGAACAGCACTGGCTGGTATAGAGTCCTGTGAACCTCAGGCGAATTAGAAAGTATAGCTATTATTGTATAAATAGCTTGCCTAATCAAATATATTATCTAGGGATAAGCTACTTTAGTATTCTAAATAAACCCTGAATGAGTTATAATTAAATATTCTGCTAAAATCTCATTAACGTGTGTCTTGTTCTTGGTCCTTAAGGTTTATAGAAAACTATATTCAAGATTTCAGTAATTTCTAGTCTTGGTTTATATCCTTGGATAGGAAAACTGAGCTCAGTGAAGTCAGTCATAGGTATTGTGTAACTTGTGGGGATAATTGGATGTCTGGTGTGTTTGTGATGCAGTATATCAGTGTCAGTGTCCTGTGGAACAGTGCTTATTTTTTATGTGGTGTTTTCTCTATTTGAAACTACTTTTGCTGATCCCCCTGGTTTTGTGTGCTAATGGCGACGGTGTGTACCCATCCCTAGCCTCTTGCGGTACCTCCAGTGATGGCCGTGAGGAGTGGCCTGGGCTCTGCCCAGCTGGTCCCTGTTTAGGGGTGGGCGTCAGGGCCTTGGTCTCATTGGTACAATTTTCTTTGTAGCTGAACCATGACTTCTCTTGCTAGGGGTGAGCCAAAGACGTGGTATGGGGTACCGTCTCATGCTGCAGAACAGCTGGAGGAAGTGATGAGGGAGCTGGCCCCTGAGCTGTTCGAATCCCAGCCTGACCTCCTGCATCAGCTAGTCACCATCATGAACCCCAATGTGCTGATGGAGCATGGGGTGCCTGTGAGTCTCCGTGTGTCTCTTCAGTGCCTTTAAAGTTACTTGAGAAGCTCTTGATTAAATACAGTCACAATGCATGCTTTGCTTTGTGACTGGAAGCAGCGGGTCACGTCACCAACTAGCCAAATTAGAATTTATGAGGTGAATGAGAACAACTTTGCTTGACCAAGAGGAGTTCTTTTGAAGTATGAATCTGATCTGATGACCTTCCCGCAACAGTTACATTCTTTTTTTTTGTCAGTCATGGGCCTTGAACTCTGTGCCTGGGTGCTATCCCTCAGCTCTTCAGCTCAAGGCTAGCACTCTACCACTTGAGCCGCAGCACCACTTCTGGCTTTTTTCTGCTTATGTGGTGCTGAGGAATCGAACCCAGGGCCTCATGCATGCAAGGCAAGCGCTCTACCACTGAGCACCTTCCCAGCCCAACAGTTACATTCTTGTTTGAACAAAAATATTATAGTCCTTATTATTCTTATTTAACTAAAAAAGTGGGTTTTTAAATGGCAGCTGTAGTAAGTCATCCTTACCCTTTTTATTACCGTCTATTGTTATTTCAAGGAGGTTCCATCAGGAGGGACGTTTCTCCGCAGTGTATTCCAGCCAAACTCCCGTCACTTCCCCACCTCCTCTCTTGTCCTAGTACAGTTGCAAGAGGTTTCATTGTTCTGTTTTTGTTCTTGCCCACACATTGATCCTCTTTCGCCCTCATTGGCCTGACTCCCTCTCACAAGTACCCATCTCCCACGGAGCCTTGTTTTCTTTCCCCTCCCCAGCCCCTTATTGATGAGCAGATTTCTTTGTGGTTCTTTATGCTGTCTTCATAATTAATTTGAATGTGTTTGAAAATTACCCACCCTCGATGTTTCTTTTTTCTTTTTATGTAAGGATCTCAGTTTTTAATACATGAGATAATGAAGCAAAAATATACTATGAATTTCTTTCTTCCTTTCAACTTAATTTTGAAAAGTCATCAAACTACTACAGTACGTTAAAGTATAAGTTTAAAGAGATTTGCTGTGTGATGAAAAATTCACAATAAGTTTTTTTTTCTGGTTGTACTCCTGGCATTGAACCCAAGTCCTGCATAAGCTTAGACACGTACTCTACCCCAGGCTCTGTGCCCAGATCTTCCCCTGTAATTATAGGATTACAGGTGTGGGCCACCACCGCCACTTCCTTATAGCTGTAATGAAAGTAAGGTGAATGGTGTTCAAGTGAAGTGGTAGAGCTCCCACCCTTCCTATCGAGGTTGAGGCCCTGAGTTCAAAACTAGTACTGCCAGCAGCAAAAAGTGGCAACAAAATCTGACACCTTAAGATACATGGTATTATCACAGAACAGGGTATAGGAACATTGATTTGGGAATATTTCATATCACGTATTAACTGATAAAAATTTTGGATAAAAATGTATCCAAAGGTTGTAGGCAGTTTCATTCTTTACCACTATTTACAACCCAGGAATTAAGAAGTTTCCTTGAGTATGTATTTATTTATTTGTTTGTTTTTTTTGTCAGTTGTGGGGCTTGAACTCAGGGCCTTGGTGCTGTACCTGAGCTTTTTGCTCAAGACCAGTGCTCTACCACTTTGAGTCACAGCTCCACTTCTGATTTTCTGGTGGCTCATTGGAAATACGAGTCACATGGGGACTTTTGTTCCTGGATGGACTTTGAATTGTGATCCTCAGATCTAAGCCTTCTGAGTAGCTAGGAAAAAGTTTTAATCATTAGGAAACAAGTAGCTGAATGAGCATTGTACTGTTCTCCATTTAGAAAATGTGTTTGAAACTGACTGATGAAATCTGTCTCCCTCTGTTGTTTTGTTCTTTTATATCCCTGTTCCCAATTTGCATTTAGGTGTACAGGACCAATCAGTGTGCTGGAGAGTTTGTAGTGACATTTCCTCGCGCCTACCACTCTGGATTCAACCAGGGCTACAACTTTGCGGAGGCTGTGAACTTCTGTACTGCTGACTGGGTCTGTTTTATAGCAAGTGGCTGTTGCATGTCTCCCCAAACCCTACAAAAGGAGCTTAGGAGCCACATTTACTGGGCTGGCTCTAAGAGTGCTCCGTGAACATTTCCACGGTAATAAATGATGGGCTGTTGTCATTTAAAAAGTTACGAGTTGCCATCACATTTCTCTGGAAGATTTTATGGTTCTTCTTCCCATAGATTCACTAGTTTCCCTATTCTTTCTGAACTTTCAATGGACAGTTAGTTGATTCTTTCTCTGTGGAATACAATTTCTCTGTTCTAAATTGTCTCTGAGAACTTTTGGACCTTCCCGTGATAAATGAAGGTTTGGAGGTGTGGCTCACATGGTAGAGCTCCTGTCTAGCATTCACAAGGCCCTGAGTTCAAACCCCAGAACTAGTAAGAACAAATTTGTAAATGATAATGTCAGTGATGACTGTTTTGCTTTTGTGTGAGGTAGATATCAGAAGGTGCCGGTGGCTATGACTGGGAAAAGGCTGCATAGTATACACTGATTTGTTTGGCTGTTGCTTTTTAGATTTAGTGATACTGTTTGTCATCCCTCCCCCCTTCATTTTTGGAGAAATCCTTCAGTACCATTGAACCTTAGATTGTCTGGATACCTTTTTTAATTTCCATGATTAACTATAGAAAGCCAAGTAAAATGGAAAGTTAAGATGGTGTGGTAAACAGCCTTGTATTTTTGAGAGAGGGTCTTGTAGTGTTGCCTAGACTCCTGCCTCAGCCATACGGGTGTGAAACACTGTATCTGGCTTGTGAACACTCACTCCTGTTTTAACCCAGTCATTTAACACTTCTGTATTTGTTCACGGAAGCAGCACAGTTTACCATGAGCAAGATGGAAGTTTAGAATTTGCCTTGGGCTTGAGTTCTCCTTCTTAAAACAACTAACATTTGGGGAGTTTATGACTTGCCCCGCACTTGGCTAGGTGTAAGCTAGGAAGCGGGGTGATGTGGATGTGGGTTAGGAATGTTGTCTGCCTTCCACTGCTCACTGTTACCACTGTTCTTCTCTGGCAGCTCCTCATTTTACTGGGTCTAACTATGTAAAGATGCTGACAGATTCACTTATGACCCAAAGTTAAACACTTGGGGTGAGAGCTCTTGGTATTCTTTAGCAAAAGGTACACTTGGAACAGCTTTATCTATGAAATTATAGCAGGGCTTTTCTGAGCTAAAATGCATAATCAGTTCTATTTTATGTGGCTTCATTACATGTTATGATTAAGAAGTGCAAACCCCACCAGTTGGTTTCTTCTACTTGTTCTTTTTTTTTTTTTTTCTTTTTTGTCAATCCTGGGACTTGAACTCGGGGCCTACACACTGTCCCTGAGCTGCTTTTGCTCAAGACTAACACTCTATCACTTGAGCCATGGTGCCATTTCTGGCTTTTTCTGTTTATATGGTACTGAGGAATTGAACCCAGGGCTTCATACTTGCTAGGCAAGCACTCTACCAGTAAGCCACTTTCCTAGCTCTCTACTTGCTCTAATAGCTGCATGAGAAATGTTTAAGGAGTAAATACTTAAGAATTTGGACATTAAAGAGTTGTATATTGTTAATAAATAAGATGAGTGCTTATTATGCATTCAAAATATATTTGGAGGGGAATTGTCTCTTTGAAGAGCATGGAAGATGGCTCGATTCAGATAGAGCCTCATACTATGTGTTATTAACACATAGAAGTAAATTCTAAAAGGTTATTCAAGGTCTATCTTTGTATTTTTTCCTCTTGACCTTACAGTTTCCAAATTCAAATAAAACAACTTTTACCCTGTGTGTGTGTGTGTGTGTGTGTGTGTGTGTGTGTGTGTGTGTGTGTGTGTGTGTGTGTGTGTGTGTGTGTGTGTGTGAATATAGCTACTTTTCAAGTTTGTAGCTTGGAAGTTACAGAAATGGTGAGAATTTATCTTGGGAGTGTATGGCTTCATTTGTTTTGATAATGATTTTGTGTTCTAATGATGCACGCCCCCACTGAGCCATATCCTCAGCCCCATCCAGAGCTATCTGTTGGCTATGGAAGGTTGTTATTTCAGTTAGGGAAAACTATCACCTTTGAACTCTTTCTGTGAGGCTGGTGGATTTGAAAAGGCTTCTGGAAGCTAAAATCTAAAGTAATTTTTGATTTAGCTCTTGTAAACAAAAAAGAAAAAGTTAGACAATGTATATTGGTTAAATAGTACTTTCCCCTAATTTTTCCTTTTTTTCCCCCTAATAATGTGTTCTCTTTGTTCTGAATGCTAAATACTTTCACCTAACATTTTATAGTTGGAACTTTTAACTTCTTTTTTCTCTTGTGCCAGTACTGGGGCTTGAACCTGGGGACTCACACTCTTACTGTGCTTTTTTGCTCAAGGCTAGCACTGTTTTATCACAGTTTGTTAGCATATTTCTAGGTAATTGGAGATAAGTGTCTTATGGACTATTCTACCTGATGTTCTCTTTGAACCTAGATCCTCAGATACCAGGTTTCCAGTGTAGCTGGGGTTACAGGTGTAAGCCCCCAGCACCCTGCTTAAGATTTTCTGTTGGTTGTTAACAGCATTTTATCTTTTACCTTTATGGCTAATCCTTTGTTAGGTTGGCCTCAGTTTTCCACCTCATATACCAAGGAACTCCATCTTCCCAAACTCAGTTTGGGACAGGAGTTTAGTATCTCAGATAATGGAAATCCCTGGGAACAGCCTGTGGAATTCTTGCTGGGCCACAGAAAGTTAATGCTTACAGTAGCCTCTTAGGTTCAGCTATGACTTGTACTCTGTCTTGATAATCAAAGGGAAGATCTGGAGGGTAGTGGTGCTTCTGTTCTGGGATGTTATGAACAAGTAATTTAATTTGGAAATCTCCTGTTTTCAGCTGCCCATTGGTCGTCAGTGTGTAAATCATTACCGAAGGCTGAAGCGCCACTGTGTCTTCTCTCATGAGGAACTCATTTTCAAAATGGCAGCAGATCCAGAATGCCTGGATGTGGGGCTGGCCGCTATGGTCTGCAAAGAGTTGACTCTCATGACTGAAGAAGAAACGCGATTAAGGGAGTCCGTTGTTCAGATGGTGAGTTCGCCGAGCCCAGTTGCTGCTTTTGTTTCTGTTTTATGGAATATAGAAAAAAAAACGAACATACAGAACTTTTACTTTTGATTTCTTCTAGAGTTGAACACAAAAATCAATAATTTCAAGAATATTTTATATTTTAGTAGTTGCTATTTTTGTTTTTCTTCAGATTCCAAAAGTTCTAGGAAACGATGTCACCTAGATTTTTTTTTCTCATCTTTAGCATATATTAATTGTACAGGGGGTTTCATTGTGATGTTTCCTTACCTGCTTTTAATGTACACACAGATTCATCCCCTCTGGTACCTTTTCTTTTCTTTTTTTTTTGGGGGGGGGGTCCGGTCGTGGGGCCTGAACTCTGGGCCTGGGCGGTGTCCCTCAGCTCTTCAGCTCAAGGCTAGCGCTCTACCACTTGAGCCACAGCACCACTTCCGGCTTTTTTCTTTTTGCTTATGTGGTGCTGAGGAATCGAACCCAGGGCCTCAGGCATGCAAGGCAAGCACTCTACCACTGAGCCACCTTCCCAGCCCCCCTCTGGTACCTTGTCATTTCCCGGTTTTCTCTACCTTCAAACGGTGTTCAGTATGCTTTCATGCTGAGTATGAATGAAGTACTTGGATCATTTTACCTTCACCTTGACCCTCCCCTCCCACTGGTTCCCATACTCAGGATAGTTTCCCCTTTTTTGCACTCATAATTCATGTTGAGGATCATGGTTCAAAGAATCATGGAAATGGAGGTGTGGCTCAAGTGATAGAGTAAAAAAGCCAAAAAGACCATGCTGGCTTTGAACCATGATCTTCACATCTTAGCCTCCTGAGTAGCTAGTATTATAGGCATGAGCCACCATCGCCCTCCTGCTAGAAAATATTTTCTTGTCATGCCATTGACTTATTCCCCACTGTAGGAGAGGAGTTTTGTTTTGTTGTTGTTGTTGTTGTTTTTTGGTCAGTCATGGGACTCGAACTCTGGGCTTGGGCATGGTCCCTGTGTTCTTCAGCTCAAGGCGAGCTACAGCACCACTTTTTTTTTATGCTTTGAAGAAAAGGCAACATTGATGTGTGCTGTCACTTGTGTTTCAGGGAGTTCTGATGTCAGAAGAGGAAGTGTTTGAGCTTGTTCCTGACGATGAGCGACAGTGCTCAGCATGTAGAACCACGTGCTTCCTCTCGGCTCTCACCTGCTCCTGTAATCCCGAGCGGCTGGTGTGTCTCTACCACCCAGCTGATCTGTGCCCCTGCCCCATGCAGAAGAAATGTCTTAGGTATCCAAAAGTAAAGTCAGATCTTGAGTTATTCCCTTCCTGTCCCTGATCTATTAACTTCCTGTCTTCTGCTTGCTCGTGGACTAGGTCCTAAACACGGAGGCTACGATTATTCACTTCATCAGTTAATTCCAGATGTTTCTTTTTTTTGGGGGGGGGGGTCCGGTCATGGGGCCTGAACTCTGGGCTTGGGCGCTGTCCCTCAGCTCTTCAGCTTAAGGCTAGCACTCTACTACTTGAGCCACAGCATCATTTCTGGCTTTTTTCTTTTTTCTTTATGTGGTGCTGAGGAATCGAACCCAGGGCCTCAGGCATGCAAGGCAAGCGCTCTACCACTGAGCCACCTTCCCAGCCCCAATTCCAGATGTTTCTTGTCTCTCTCTCTCTCTCTCTCTCTCTCTACATTGAAACCGCGACCCCCCCATCCCCATACTGGGGGTTGGGCTTAGGGCCTCCTTATTGCTAGGCAAGCACTTTACCACTTGAGCAGCACCCACAATCCTGTAGGCATCTTTCATTTTCTCATTTATTTTCAGGTTGTTCTTGGGTTTTGAAGTTTTTGTTTCGGTGAGGTTTTTGGGGGGACAGGGGAGTAGATACTGCTATCGGTTTGAAAACCTCCCTTTTCTATGGTATAAACATCAGGAAACAGTCCAATGACTACACCCTGCACCCCTAATCCTGTACCATCTTTCATTTTCTCACCATTTATTTGCAAGTTGTAAAGTGTTTAATTTCTGTTTTTTGTAGATACCGCTACCCCCTGGAAGAGCTCCCTTCCCTCCTGTGTGGCGTGGGGGCCAGGGCGCAGTCCTACGACACTTGGGTCAGTCGCGTCACAGAGGCGCTGTCCGATAACCTCAGCCACAAGAAAGGTCTGTGGGCCTGCGCTGCAGTGTTCTCACCTTGTCCCCTGCTTCTAGGACAGTGGAGACTGAAGAGCTCCTCGGATATGGTCTATTTGAGAAACTTTGTCTTTGGAGACAGAGGGTCTCACGTAACCTGGAGTTCACTCAATAGCCCAGGCTGGCTTCTACCTTGTAACCCTCCTGCCTTGGGCTGCTCATTGTGAGGATTGTAGCTGTGTGCTGCCGTGCTTGGCAGCAGTCCTCTTTGAATGAACAGGCTGACCTCAGATGGGACAGGCAGCTTGTAGCTGGTTGTATTTGCTACTAGCTGACTGACACTCAAGGCTTTATTGAAAGAGAAATGATCTCTGGGCCTTGGAATGGGTTCAGGTACCTGCTAGAAGCTTTCACTGCATTGGTGAGATTTTTCACAGCTGTGTGAGATTTCCGCTAGTTGGTTGATGACCCACCTGGGGAGGTGGATGAGATTTTAGAGTGGCTCTTTGTGTCTCTGGTCATAGCATGTGGCTTTTTTCATATTATTTTACAGACTTGATTGAATTAAGAGTAATGCTTGAAGATGCTGAGGACAGGAAATACCCAGAGAACGATCTCTTTCGGAAACTCAGGGATGCTGTTAAAGAAGCCGAGACCTGTGCTTCTGTGGCTCAGCTGCTGCTTAGCAAGAAGCAGAAACATAGGTAAGAACAAAAGTGAAAGTTTAGCTGGTTTAATCTCTTGTAGCGCTGGTTCTTCCTTCTCCAGTAATGAATGCCTCCGTCTTCTTTCCTCTCTGCCTTCCCACTCCCTTCCTCTATTCATCTTCAGAAATTGTGGAAGCTCTTTAAATCATAATACTGGGAGTCACACTGACTGTGTGTGTGTGAGAGAGAGAGACAAACGTGCCTCTGGCAGGAAAAACTACGTCTACAAGTTTGTTTACCAGTTTAGTCGCACCTGGCATCCCTTTCTCTCTTGAGTGATGCCTTCAAGTCAGGTTTTTGAAACCCAGTACCCAAGTCTCCTGGCTTATGCAAATACAAATTTACTTTTTCAGGTACTGAAAGCAAGCTGTAGTGGCAATGTCCTGTCGCACGTTGAATAGAGGGAAGAAACCCCTCGGGAAATCTATTGCTTGTGTCTGAGAAAAGAGCTTAGTGAGTTTTCAGACCATCTTTTTTAGTTGATAATAACTAACCAGGCTGTTCCTGGATTAAGCTTTCTTAACAGCCTATATCCAGAATTTTTAAATGGGGGCCCTGGAGAAAGTGTTTTGTTTTTTGTTTTCTTGATTTTTTTTTTTAGTTCAGGTGGCACTTGCTTTATGACCCGCTAAGGGTTGGGGGTTACAGCTCTTAGTTCACAATTTCTTTCCTCACAGAGCAATACGTGTGCACGCATGTGTGCACACACACACACGCACCTCACACACTCTCGCCTTTCTTAGAGTGCTCTGCTTCCTACTGAGCTCCCTCCGTTTGTTCCTTGTTTTAAGTCTTCTTGTTTCCTGCTTTATCTTCTCACCCTATCACCTTCTGGTGAACTAATTCTGATTGTATGTCACCCCCCCACCCTCCCATGAATGTAGAATGTACACTAAGCTGGAGTGTCAGGTAGTTTGAGCTGCTTTTCACTACTGTATTTCTTATTACATGGTGGGTGCATGATCAATAAGTGCAGTGATTGGGTGAGATGGTAGCACAGGCGGAAGGCAGGTGGCAGCAGGGAGTAATCTGGGTGCATGTAGAGGAGGCAGGGGTTAAGAACCTACGAGTGTATACTTTTTTTTTTGTCAGTTGTGAGGCTTGAACTCAGGGTCTGCGTGCTGATCCTGAGCTCTTTTGCTTACGACCTAGTGCTCTACCGCTTTGAGCCACAGTTCCACTTCTGGTTTTCTGCTGGTTAGAGACTGTCCTGTCTGACTTGGCTTTGCATTATTATAATCCACAGATCTCAGGCTTCTGAGTAGCTAGGATTATAGGCATGAGCCACCAGTGCCCAGCCTGTGTCCCTTTCATTGAATGCAGTTTATGCATATTATTGCTTCTTAGGCATTCCAGCACATTCCTCTGTCTGCTGCTGCACCTTCCTCTTGTCCCTGTTCCCTGTCCTCTTCCGACTTCCTGTCTTCTGAGACATCTCACTGTGTAGTAGGAAGTGGCCAGTCCTCTTTTGTCAGCTCCTAAATGTCTGGAATCACAGGGTTTGCCACCATGCCTGGTATGAATGGCTTTTTCTGTAGCGGTGTGTATTCTGGGTTTGAAAATACTTTATTGTACACCCACATGCATGTGTGTGTTTGTATGTACTGAGGTTTGAGTTCAGAGGTTTTTACTTTTTCAGTTTGCACTTTTATCCCTTGACTCACAAATTTAGCCCAGTTTTTTTAGCTGATTGAGATAGAGTCTTGTGGACTTTTCGTCAGCCCTGGTTTCAAACTATAATCCTACATAGTAGGTAAGATTACAGGAATGAGCCTTTGCCACCTAATGTGAATTTTTTAAATCTATTTTATTAGAAGACCTTTCTTAGAGACATTATCCAGTGGGGTTTTAGCTTGTCATGGGGCTGCCGACTCTGGGAGAATTTACTAAAAGCATAGGTACAGGTAACTTTTAGAAAAATTAGTATACATCTAGATGTTGAAACACTTCTAAGTGGTTCAGTAGCTGTGTCAGGTGATAGCTCCTGGTTCCTGATAGCGAGGTGCCCAAGACTCAGAGCTCATTTTCTCCTGCACTTACTGTTCCACATGGTGAACTTCCTTCATGTTTGCAGGGTTCCACACACATAGCTTAGAGGGACTGGGACTTGGACACTTGAGTGTTGTGAGTTATTAACTGCTCAGCATGCAACTTAATTCTGAAGTGATCACCATTGCAGTGGAATTCCTCTGACGCTAGGATTCCAGGATTGCAGAGGTTTGAATTGTGCAGAGACTGGGAGCCCCACAAGAGACCGGGATAACTTAAATTTTCCTTACAACATCTCAATATTATTTCTCATCAGACAGAGCCCAGATAATGGGAGAACGCGGACCAAACTGACAGTAGAAGAGCTGAAGGCCTTTGTTCAGCAGCTTTTCAGTCTTCCATGTGTCATCAGCCAAGCTCGACAAGTGAAGGTGAAGTCTGCCTCCTTGCCTGTGTCTTTGTGGTGGGGACTGCGTTCAGGGCTCACAGAACGCCATGTCTACCCTAGTTTTTGCTGTTTCTTTTTTTGGGGGGGGAGGGGGGTCCGGTCGTGGGGCCTGAACTCTGGGCCTGGGCGCTGTCCCTCAGCTCTTCAGCTCAAGGCTAGCGCTCTACCACTTGAGCCACAGCGCCACTTCCGGCTTTTTGCTTTTTGCTTATGTGGTGCTGAGGAATTGAACCCAGGGCCTCGGGCATGCAAGGCAAGCGCTCCACCACTGAGCCCCCTGCCCAGCCCTGCTGTTTGGTTTCTCACATATGTGCTGCTGTTTAAGGTTCTTAGTAAGCAGTCTATGTCATGGGTTTTTATTGTTTTGGGTTTTTCCATTTTAAAGGAATAAAGCCTAAAGCGAATTGAGAATTTGTTTAGCTTAGCATTTTTATCAAAAGTATATATCACCTGTGCTAGTCTACATAACTATTAATGTTTTTCTTGTTTGTTTTAGGGATGGCCAGAATATCTAAAACAGTTTTTGACGTGGTTGTCAATTTACAAAATCTACTGTCAGTTATATATAATTTTCTTGTCTTACCCCTTTGGTAGTTGATTATTCCCTCTCTTAATTGACTCTCCTGTAGGCATCCATGGCACAGCACTCACCTGCTCTTAATTCTCTTCGCTCTTTGTCCAGACTAATAAATGTAGAATACGAAGGAGCCTCAGCCCTTGTAGCTGTGTGCTCTCTGATTTGTCCATTGTCGATAAATATCACCTGTATCTTGTTGATGCCAAGATCTCTCACTCTTCCTTCCTCCTTCTCTATAGATGTATATCCAGATGTATAATGTTTTTGCTTGCTTGCTTCATGTACTGGGGTTTGAACTTGGAGTCTTACATGGGCTAGGCAGAGTAAAAGCCATCTTCAAAAACCTTTTAATGACAGGCACTGGTGGCTTCTGACTGTAATACAAGCTACTCAGGAGGCTGATATCTGAAGATCACAGATTGAAGCTAGCCCAGGCAGATATTCTTATCTCCAATTAACCACTCAAAAACCAGAAATGGAGCTGTGACTCAAAGTGGTAGAATGTGCTAGCCTTGAGCAAAAAGTGCTTAGAGATTTTGTCTGCCCAGGCCCTGAGTACAAGCCCCATGACCACATTTTCCCTCCAAGAAAACTTTTAGGAGCTGGGAATGTGACTCAGTGATAGAGTGCTTGCCTAGCATGTAAAAGGCCCTGGGTTTGATTCCTCAGTACCACATACACAGCAAAAAGCTGGGTCTGTGGCTCAAAATGTAGAGTGCTAACCTTGAGCAAAAAGAAGCTCGGAGACAGCGCCCAGGCCCCAAGTTCAAGCTCCAGGACTGGCAAAAATAAATAAATAATAAAACTTTTAATGAGTCAAGAGAAAAAAATCCTAGGCTACTTGATTCCTCATTTCATTTCCCTGTGCCCAGCCTAAGCAAGTGCTGCTCTTGCCTCTAAAATGGATCCCTCCGCAAACCAGTTACCACTCCATTGCTTAAAATATGCTCGGAGTGTGCCACACAATTCCCCATGGATAACAGCCTCTTAACTACTTCCTCTTCTATTCTGTCTCCCAGTTTATTTTTTGTTAGGAAAGGCAGAATGATCATCTCAAATATAAGTAAAGTTATAGCACTTCCCTGTGCTTAAAATTCTTCAGTGGTTCCTAAGTGCCATTAGAAAGAAATCTAGTCATTTTAATCTACAAGACATTATGCACTCTTTCCTCGGCTTATTTGTTTCTCGTCTGTCCACGTAATAAGCTCATTCCTCTTTAAAAAGATTTTGTAGTTAGTTCCTGCCTGATCTCAATTCTTGGTCCAGTGAACCCAGGTCAGAAAAAGACCTATCAATCCTTAGCTTCCTGGTCAGTGCTCCAAATATTTTAACAGAAAACGTGGGGCAGCTAAGTTGACCCTGTTCCTTACATCTGGCAAGAGAGGAACTCAGGCAAGACTTGAATATAGTAAAAGTGATAGTAAAAATATTAGAAAAGAAATGTAGCAAAAAACCAGCATTTGGCATAGACATGCTGCAGGGAAGATAGCACCTTAGTCCATCTCAAACATGCTGCTCTGTCTTGGGGGTACAAAGGTTGGCCTTGTGTTAAATAGGGAGAATTAGAGCCCTTGAAGATGGCTTTTTGATTGGTGGGCTTCCTTTCTATTTCCTGTAAAAATGTGGTGCCAAAGATTTAGTGTAGCATCCTTATCTCCTTATTTGTCATTAACAGGTGACTTCCTTTCTTGTTCCCCATTTCATTGTCCAGCATTTTTGGCTTGTCAGCCTGTCCTGCCATCTCTTCCAGTTGTATGGGCCTGCGCTCCCTGAATGCCTGCTTTTCTACCAACTGCCATCACCCCAGCTCCTCACAGCTCCCACCACCAGTCTCTGTGTGGTTTGGGTTCATCATCTTCTGTGATTGTCATATCAGAGTACTGTGGCATTCCCTCTCTTGCCAGTCTCTGTTGTGCTGGCCCGTTGTCAGAATGCTCATACTGACAGAGACATTTCACTTACGTGTTTACTGTCTGGCCATTGGAGTTTGTCTTAAGTTGGCAGTCATTATGTAGTTTTTGAATGAGTCCAGTATTATAAATGTGAAACTTACTTAAAAGTAAGAATGTCTGTTCTTTATCCCTTTAAATTTTCTTTTTACTTTTTCAGAATCTGCTGGATGATGTGGAAGAGTTTCATGAACGTGCTCAGAAGGCCATGATGGATGAAACGCCAGATTCTTCCAAACTTCAGATGCTGATAGACATGGGTTCTAGTCTCTATGTGGAGCTTCCTGAATTACCCCGGCTGAAACAAGAGCTCCAGCAGGCTCGGTGGCTGGATGAAGTGAGGCTGACCCTATCCGATCCGCAGCAGGTCACTTTGGATGCCATGAAGAAACTGATTGACTCTGGTGTAGGACTGGCACCCCACCATGCTGTGGAGAAAGCAATGGCTGAACTACAGGAGCTCCTTACAGTCTCTGAACGATGGGAGGAAAAGGCTAAGCTTTGCCTGCAGGCAAGGTGAAGACATTTTGGTGACTGTTGCCTCTTTGAGAACCTTAGCAAGTAGGATGGGAAGGAGGAAATAAAGGGCTTCTTTCATGAGGTGGTTAACTTGACCACCAGCACCAAGATAGCAAATGAGGCTACATGTAGACAGTTTCAGATAGGTTCCAACTACATACAGTATACTTTGGCCTCAGCAGGAGTTTGTTGAGCTTGGACCTTCAGTTGAGAAGTTTCAGAGAAATAAGAATTTATGAAGCCGGGTGCCGGTGGCTCACGCCCGTAATCCTGGCTACTCAGGAGGCTGAGATCTGAGAATCACCGTTCAAAGCCAGCCCGGGCAGGAAAGTCTAAGAGACTATTATCTCCAATAAACCACTTGAAAACCTGAAGTGGCACTGTGGCTCAAGCGGTAGAGCGCTGGCCTTGAGCTGAAGAGCGCAGGGACAGTGCCCAAGCCCAGAGTTCAAGCCCCATGACCCACCAAAAAAAAAAAAAAAAAAAAGAATTTATGGAGAACCTTGAAAAAGAACAGTAGGGAAATAGAAGGGGGAAATGTGATAAACTGAGAAACATGTAAGGTGTGTTCAGCTGACAAGTTGAGTTTTTCTGGAATGGAGGCTGTAGTTAGGAAAGTAATAGGAGATAAGGTTTATATAAAGATTTCGTTAGGAAAGTAATAGGAGATAAGGTTTGTATAGAGATAAGATTTATATCGAACTGTGTCGTTAGTACTATCCCACTGTACTTAATGAGGATAAGTAGTGATATGTATCATATATATATATATATATATATATTACTAATCTGACTAGTAATTAGCTTTGGTGTTCTTTGTGAAAGCATTTTTGCAAAAACATTGTGAGAATGTTATCTGTCAACATGGGACTTATAGCCTTGAGCACTTTTGCTCCAGGCTAGCACTCTTCCACTTTGAACCACAGCACCACTTCCAGTTTTTGAGTGTTTAATTGGAGTCTCACGGAGACTTTGCTGCCTGGGCTGGTTTCAAACTGCGATCCTCAGATCTCCGCCTGCTGAGTAGCTAGGATTTACAGGTGCGAGCCGCTGGCGCCCAGCCAAGGGGGTATAATTTATTTATACGAAATGACCAGTGAGTTAGTTTTTCTCTATCAGACAGAACGTGGTGCTTGCTTTGCTGAGAACTAAGTGACAGAAGTGAAGGTTCTTTCCACATAATACACTGTTGTTATATGTTGGTAGCACTTGCACTTTTCTTCATGTTTTCCTCCATTTTGTTGCTCATTTAGACCACGGCACAGTGTAGCAAGTTTAGAAAGCATTGTGAATGAAGCCAAGAACATTCCAGCCTTTCTTCCGAACGTGTTGTCCCTGAAAGAGGCCCTACACAAGGCTCGAGAATGGACAGCAAAGGTGGAAGCTCTTCAGGTAAGCATACTGGCATTAGCCTGCCTAGCAGGTAGCGCCTGCCTCGCGCATGAACCTTGAAACCTCTCATTCCTTTGGATAGAAAATCATAATAAAGCATTGCTTAGAATTCACCTGCTCTTCCATCTGATTCAATAATTGAAAGACAGACCACTTTTCATATATAACTAGCTATTATTACAAAAGGTGATGGGATTAGCTATTCAGTGCTTACCGATAGGAGGGTTTTATTATCTGGTGTATTCTTTGAATCTTTTTTCCCCATGCATGTACTACTTTTAAAATAAGATGTGGAAAAATAAGATGAAATGAGCACTTACTGAAACACCTAGTACTTTGATATTTTTTTTTAGGTGTTTGGGAACAGGAATGTGAGAAATGATGTAAATGCATATTTTTCTTGAAGAGATAACACGTTTACAGTTTACAGTAGTAAAATTAGTGCTGAATTTTGCTTGAAGTATTAAAAGCCATTAGCATGAAGTGTGGTAGTATCCATCTATGATCTCAAAATGCTGAGGCCAGAGGATACAGAGTTCAAGGGCTGCCTGGGCCTATATTATGCAACCTTGTCTCCCTCCCCGCCCCCCAAAAAATAAATAAAAAAGCTGTAAGTAATATTGGTAGTGTTCATTTTAGAATTATACCCAAGAAAACTTGTCTCAAGAAAGAACATTTTCTAGCTGTATTGACTCCTCTTCCACTCTGTCAATTTTCAGTTCACTTTCTGGGACTCAGCTCCTGCTGCTTTTTCTTCCTCTTATTACCTCTGTTTTGATCAGGGCTACTCCTTTGTCTCTGATCCTACCCAGGCAGTGTGGTGTCTGATCATCCTAATTGGCTATTTATGATTGAAAAGCTAACAGGCCGACTGATGTCTGTCTCCTTGGTAATGTGGAAAGGCTCTGTCTCTCCCTGGCTCTCCAGCCCTTTTCTTCAGTGGGATATTGACTTATGGGTGCTGAGTAAGTGGACAGGTTGTGATGGTAGTCAGGCTTTGTTTAGGATGCATGGTTTGGGAGGAGGGTCAGTCAAGACTTATCTGGAAGGAGTTTTGGAGGCAATTGACATGAATTTGACATAAGAGGAAGAGTACTCGTGTTTATAAGACTTTCTGTATCTGAGCATTTTTCTGCATTCCTCTGACATGTTCCAGGCTCCATAAGAGAAGCAAGGTTGTAAGACTCTGCTTCTGTCTTCCAGAGTGGCAGCAATTATGCTTACTTGGAGCAGCTTGAGAGCTTATCTGCCAAGGGACGCCCCATCCCTGTGCGGCTTGATGCCCTGCCCCAGGTGGAGTCGCAGGTCGCGGCAGCACGGGCTTGGAGAGAGCGGACTGGGCGCACCTTTCTGAAGAAGAATTCCAGCCATACGCTGCTGCAGGTAACAAGGGTCCTTGGTGTCCAGCTACTCAGCACTCCATCAGCAGCTGATAAACTTAACCCTCTGGCTGGTTGTAGCCCAGGTGAGGGGTGTTCCCAGTTTAATCTGGTCTTTAGCGCCAGTGATACCTCCCACACCTATCAGATGTGGGTCTGAAATTTGGAGCCTTAGACTCATATCCTGATAAGCTTATGCTGTGTCCAGAAAAAGCAGTCAGCCTGATCTTATCTCTGGTTATTGGACTCTGTCACTGACAGATGTTATTTCTCAAAAGCACAGATTTAAATCCTTGTCCTTAGTATGGTGAGCAGGTTGATCATGGTAGTCAGAGGACAGGCTCTGAAGTGGGACAGTGTCAGATTTGAGGACTGGCTCTTCTCTTGCTAGCCTCGTGTCCTTGCGCAAGTTGTTCCATGAATCTATTTTCTTTGTTTGTAGAGTGTGGAAATAAATGTGTAAGGTTGCACAGGTTCAGTTAGATACGTACATAAAGTTCTTAAGGTCCCAGGACATGGTGTGCGGCTGTATGTGGTTCCTTTTATTTCACTTTAGAAAACTACAGTTTATATTTTGGTTTTATTTTTTAGGTGCTAAGTCCCCGAACTGACATTGGTATATACGGGAGTGGTAAAAACAGGAGGAAAAAAGTGAAAGAATTAATAGAAAAAGAAAAAGAGAAGGACCTAGACCTCGAGCCCTTGAGTGATTTGGAGGAAGGACTGGAGGAAACAAGAGATACAGCCATGGTGGTAAGAGACTGGGAAGATGCTAACAGGTGTAGGCTTTTACATTGGTGTACTCTGTCATAGGATATGTATTTATTTATTTACTTATTTTGTGTCAGTCCTGAGACTTCAACTCAGGGCCTGTGCGCTGTCCCTGAGATTCTTTCTCTCAAAGCTAGCACTCTACCACTTGAGCCACAGCACCACTCCTGGCTTTTTCTGAGTAGTTTATTAGAGATAAGAGTCTCACAGACTTTTCCTGCCCAGGCTGGCTTCAAACTGCCATCCTCAGATCTCAGCCTCCAGAGTAGTTAAGATTTCAAGCATGAGCCACTAGTACCTGGCTAGGACTTTTTTTTAAATATAATTTTATTGTTACTATTAAGGTAGGGATTTATACATTTGTAATTGCAGTGCAAAAAGTTTACTATTCTTTTCCACATATCAGTTCTTTATTGCTTTAATTTTATTGCATAATCTGCTTTTTGTTTTCTCTTTGTGGTGGGGATCAAACTTAGGCTTCTTGCTGGCTAATCAAAGCACTCTACCACTGAGCTTCATTCCCAGCCTGCTCAGAACATTTGCGTTACTACTTTTCCTTCCTACTGAGATACTGGAGTTTAAACTTAAGACTTTGCTTGCTAACAGGCAGTCTGCCAGTTGAGCCATACTCTCAGCCCTACTTTGTTAAAAATGTTCTGTTGTACGTAAGCAGGGGAACTTGCTGTATAATGTTCTTTAAGTTAGTTAGAAATTGCATTAGTTTAGTAGCATTTTGTGGCTCTTGATACGGTTGTGCTTTCTGAAGCAGTTGAAGTAGAGTACTGGTGCCAGATACTCTCAAAATTTCTCCCTTTTATTAGCTTTTGGGAGGATATTGACTATTCAGTAAAAGTGTTTATAGCAGTGAGAATTATGATAATTTTTTTGAACCACACTAGTTCTAGTCAGGTATTGTGCTGGCTAATTGAAGATGGGACTCTCCTAGACTTTTTCTGCCTGGTCCAACTTTACCCAGGATCCTCCAGATCACAGCTTCCTGAGCAGCCAGGCTTACATGTGTGAGCCACTAAGCTGTTCAGGAGACTGAGAGCTGAAGATCTTGATTCAAAGCCAGCCTGGTCAGGAATGTCCACCCAAAAAAGCCAGAAGTGGAGCTGTGGCTCTAGTGGTAGAACATGAGCCTTAAGCACAAAATCCCAGGAACAGCGTGCAAGTCCTGAGTTCAAGCCCTAGGACCAGCACAAAAACAAAAAAGAATGGGAAGAATTAGGATTACTAGAAGAATAAAAATGAAAATTAGACAGTTAGTAGTTGGGAACTGCATATAATATGTAGCTTGGTATACTCTTCTTTCTCTCTACAAATAATCCAGTTTGAGAGCCTGCCTAACAAATCAGTCTTGATAGAAAAGTAGAACTGGACATTATTTCAAAATCGATTCAGAGCAACTCTGGTAATTTAAAAAGAAGATACATCGATATTTAGGATGTTTTTTCTCTTCTTGGTTGGAGTGAGTTTCATAAACCAGTGTTGAGCTTGTCACCAGGCTTGTTGTTGTAGCTCCAGATGAAATGGGGAGGCCGTCTGGACAAGTGTGCTGGTGTAGACCTTAATGTTCAAGATGGATCCAGTACAAGCTAGGCACTTAATTTTTAAAACAGGATGAAGTTGATGATGTGGCTACATCACCAGAAAACTGTTCAGATGAATTGTACACATCAGCCCTCTGAAACCCAGCCTTGGTACCCAGGTGGCTTGGCTTCAGGGTGGCCTATGCCCTCTTCCTACCCTAGAGGAGGGTGCTCAGGGGAAGTATTGTGCCTACGTAAATTGAATTGTCAAGTCTTTCAGTACCCTTCCATCTCAGATGACGATGCTGGTATGGAGTCTGCCCGAGCACCCCAAATTTTCAGAAACGGTTTGCAACTATTTGGAGAAAGAGCCCTCAGCCTTCAACGTTCAGTGTTTAGGGGTTTATAGTGCACTGACATCTTCCTTTAAATGTTTCTCGTGTGCAGGTGGCAGTTTTCAAGGAACGAGAGCAAAAAGAGATTGAGGCCATGCACTCCCTCCGGGCAGCTAACCTAGCCAAGATGACGGTGGCGGGCCGCCCAGAGGAAGTCAGGTTTTGCATTTGCCGGAAGACAGCCAGTGGGTTTATGCTGCAGTGCGAGCTCTGCAAGGACTGGTTCCACAACAGCTGTGTTCCCCTTCCCAAGCCAAGTTCCCACAAGAAAGGCTCCAGTTGGCAGGCCAAAGAAGTCAAATTCCTGTGCCCTCTTTGCATGAGGTCCCGCAGGCCCAGGCTAGAGACTATTTTGTCACTCCTGGTGTCCCTTCAGAAGCTGCCTGTACGGTTGCCTGAGGGAGAAGCCCTGCAGTGCTTGACGGAACGTGCTATGAGCTGGCAAGACAGAGCACGGCAGGCCCTGGCCACAGATGAACTGTCCTCTGCTTTGGCCAAACTGTCTGTGCTAAGCCAGCGTATGGTGGAGCAGGCTGCTCGGGAAAAGACCGAGAAGATCATCAGCGCAGAACTCCAAAAAGCAGCCGCCAACCCAGACTTACAGGCAAGATTAGGGTTTACATTTTCTCTCTGTTTCCTGTGTGTGTATCAGTATTCAGTGGAGTGGACTCCGTCTATTCTCTGACTAGGAGAACAATAGCTTGTCAGCAGTTTCATGAGCCCCACACATCTTCCTGCTCCACAGACCTGTAAAAATTTTCTGAGTACCCGCCAGAGTCATTTTAGTGAGATACTCCTTGCAGGTCCCATTCACCTAGACCGTGGCAGCTTTAATCGAATCATCTAGTTTCTACTGACTGTTGAAGAAGTCCTTTAGCCGCTTCACCAGTTGGTTACAAATTGTTGATTTTAGCACATACTAAGTACCCATGTTCACTCAGTAAATCTCCACTCATCCTGGAATTCTTTGTTTAGGGACACTTGTCTAGTTTTCAACAGTCAGCTTTTAACCGGGTGGTGAGCAGTGTATCATCTTCTCCCCGGCAAACAGTGGACTACGACGATGAGGAGACAGATTCTGACGAAGACATTAGAGAGACTTATGGCTATGACATAAAGGTAATTAGGGACCGGCCGGGTGGGTATGGACCTTACTTTGCTTTGTTTCTTATAGTAACATCTATTACGTGTTTCCTTTCATTTAAATTTGTTTCTGTGCTGGTCCTAGGGCTTGAACTTAGGACTGCTGCCGCTGGGCTTCTTTTGCTCTACCACTTGAGCCACAGCACCACTTCTGGCTTTTTCTATTTGTGTGGTGCTAAGGAATTGAACCCAGGGCCTCATGCTTGCAAGGCAAGCGCTCTACCACTGAGCCACCTTCACAGCCCATTCTGGCTTTTTTAATTGGAAATAAGAGTCCTGGACTTTCCTGCCTGGGCTAGCTTCAAACCATGATCCTCAGATGAGGTCAGCCTCCTGAGTAGCTACAATTACAGGTGTAAGCAACTAGTGCCAGGCTGTGTGGGTTTTTTGTTGTTTTTTTTTTAAACCCTGGCGTAAGCAGCAACTCCACACTTGGAATCCCCCTCCCCTGAAGCCAGCCACACGTGTTGCTGGAAAGAGCACACCTGCCTGGTTGGTAGTTCTCTCAGAGGTCTGTTCAGCCTCACCTTCCCGCGCCCGCGCTCCCCCCCCCCACACACACACACACATCCAGTCCTGGGTTGTGCTGCGCTGTGCTGCCTCCCGTGATGTCATGGGTCTTGGTGCCTTTCAGTCCTTCAGTACCCAATTGACTGGCTTCCAGTATGGAGTTCTATGTTAAAATAACAGTGTGATTTCCATCTGATTGCACTCTGTTTCCAAGGCTATGCAGGTGAGCTTGTGGAAATAAATTCCCTGGAGAATTATCTGAGACCTGATGAGAGCTGTCAGAATTGAGTGATTTCTGTATTGTCATTCAGGCTTTTCATTGTATTAAGTGAGAACAGTAAGATGGGATTGAACACCTTCAGAGTTAAATGGTTGTATGTAAAGATAGCACATCTAAACTTTTCTTCCTCTCTAAAGTCCATTTTGTGTTTCTTTTAAAGTGTCCACAGTTCTTGTTTATGAATTGTTTATGTGTTGTAGAATCTGAATGATGGATTATTTAGTAATAATTATTGTAAGTTTATTGTCTCTATATACTTTTTAGCTTTATTCTTTTTGGGTTTGAAATTTAGGTCATTATTGTTTTTATCTCAAACATACTTTTTAAAATTAGATGTAATACTATATAATTACATTGTTATTTGTATTTATTTTAAGTTATTTTGCTTGAACTCAGGATCTGGGCACTGTCCCTGAGCTTCTTTTGCTCAAGGCTAGCACTCTACCACTTAAGCCACAGCACTATTTCCAGCCTTTTTTGTGTATGTGGTACTGAGGAATCGAACCCAGGGCTTCATGCATGCTAGGCAAGCCACATTTCCATCCCTCGAGTGTTATTTGTAATGTATAGAAGCTTTAAAGCCGAAAGCCTTCATTTAATCCTCGTTACAGTGTAAGGTCCGCGGTTCCAATTCTGAAGCCCTCTTTGTCCTTCAGGATACAGCCAGTGTGAAGTCCTCTAGTAGTCTGGAGCCCAATCTTTTTTGTGATGAAGAGATTCCCATCAAGTCTGAGGAAGTGGTGACACACATGTGGACTGCGCCTTCGTTCTGTGCGGAGCATGCGTATTCTTCTGCTTCCAAGAGCTGTTCACAAGGTATTACGCATTCAGAGACAGAAAGCTGTAAATGCTCCCCACATTGGCCCTACCCTGACCCCAATTCTGAGATTGAAACTCGAGGATTTGTGCCACTCAGCTTGCTTGCTTGGCTGGCACTATCACTTGAGCCATTCCTCCAGATGGAAATGGAGTCCCTTGAATTTTTCTGCCTAGGCTGCCTTCAAACTTAGTCTTCTGAATCTCAGCGCCTTCTACCTGGCTAAGATTACAGATTTGAGTCACCAACTTTTGGCTATGAATCTCCATTGAATTGTACACAGTGCCTGACTATGAAATGCTAATAACAGTTTTAAAGGCTGTGTTGGTTAGAAAAGCCATCCTCCTTGTTTTTTCCTTTTTGCCTGTCCTGGGGCTTGAATTCAGTGCCTTAGCTTTTTTGCTCAAGGCTAGCACTCTGCCATTTGAGCCACATCTCCACTTCTGGCTTTTTGCTGGTTAGTTGGAGATGAGTCTGTTTACCTGCCAGGGCTGCTTTGACTTCTCAGCCTCCTGAGTAGCTAGGATTATAGGCGTGAGCCACCAGCGCCCAGCTATGTTTTTTATTATTAGATGATAACCTGAGAACGTTGCGCTCAGACAATTTCGAGGCCCCTGGGCCTGCCTGCTGCTGCTGTGAGCTGTGCGCCTGCCTCCTCACTGTCCCTGCGCCGCTGCCACTTGCGGGCTCAACAGCTGCTTGAGAACTTTCTTGCTCGAGTCTGAGTGGCTGAGATTACTAGAAAGTTCTTCCTCTTCTTGGTGAATAATTTCTCCACAGGACTTGCTTTTCTTTTCCCAACTGTGAAAAAAGTCACCCTGCTTACTGTAGAAGATGAAGGCTGGTTTTTCTCTGGCGTGAAACTTAGGATTTTGTAGAGCCATTCACTGTCACAGGGCAGTTTCCTACTTAATATTTATGGATTAAGGAATTTAGTAATAAGATAGAGAAACATCTTTAAACTCGAAATAAATCCGTTTTAGAAATTCTAGATGTGTCTGTCCTGTGGGGTTTTTTTGTTTGTTTGTTTTTTGTTTATTTTTTTCATTTCATGTTTGACGGTACAGGGTGTGTGCCTGTCTTCCTACCAGCTCAGCAGGTAGTGGAGAGAGGAGGATCTCTTGAGCCTAGGAGTTGTAGGCTGTCCTGGGAACATAGCATAACCCTGTCTCAGACAAGAAGAAAAGCCCTTCACTTTCTTTTTGATGCTAATGTAATGAACCCAGATATCTAAAGTCACTATAGAGGACAGGACACCATACTCCTACACTCACAATGGAAGCTTTGCATCTGCCCACAGTCTTCACTGTTTTGTTTTGTTTTATGGTATTGTTTTGAAAGGTTCGAGCACCCCAAGAAAGCAACCTCGGAAGAGCCCCTTAGTTCCCCGAAGTTTGGAACCTCCAGTGTTGGAGCTGTCACCGGGAGCGAAAGCCCAGTTGGAAGAACTCATGATGGTTGGAGACCTTCTGGAAGTGTCTCTAGATGAGACACAACACATATGGCGGATTTTGCAGGCCACACACCCACCCTCAGAAGACAGATTCTTGCATATCATGGAGGTATGGGTGTCAAGCTCCTTTAAGTAAGGGTTTAAAGCTATGCAAAATGCCCAGGCTGGCCAGGGGATGGCTAAGTGGAAAGCAGTCTGGTTACCTTGGCTGTTTCTTCCACTTAGCTAGAATAATTCTGGTTGGTGATGGTTTTTCTTGGGATCTTACTCCCCTCCCTTCTTGTATATTTAGCACTGTTTGTTTCTTAAATATCTTTAATGCACTTTCAGAACTCTTTTAATTAAATGTTTGTGAATGAGTATATACATACACACATATACGTGTGTGTGTGTGTGTATGAATGAGACCCTTATGGGGTAGACAGTTAAGCTTTAAGTACATTTACAGCATTAAGCAGTCGTCTCCATAATCCATTTCTACTACTCTTTACTTAGCCCAAATAGGAATTCTAGTCATAAAACAAGCCTCTATTATTCCCCACAGACCTGTGCTTTCTGCTCTAATGTACGTGTGATTTGCTCTGTGATTCTAGGCACCTCACATAAGAGAGTAACACTTTTTACATGTCTTATGTTAAAATTGCTTCTTTATTTCTGAAGGATGACAGCATGGAAGAGAAACCATTAAAAATGAAAGGAAAGGACTCCTCAGAGAAGAAACGGAAACGAAAGCTGGAAAAGGCAGAGCAGCTTTTTGGAGAAGGAAAACAGAAGTCTAAGGAGACAAAGAAAATGGACAAACCTAAAAAGAAGAAATTAAAATTAAACACAGAGAAATCAAAGGAGCTGAATAAACTAGCCAAGAAGCTAGCAAAAGAAGAAGAGAGAAAGAAAAAGAAAGAAAAGGCTGCCACAGCCAAAGTTGAACTTGTGAAGGAGAATACGGAGAAGAAGAGGGAGAAGAAAGTGCTGGACATCCCTTCCAAGTACGACTGGTCCGGGGCGGAGGAGTCTGACGACGAGAACGCCGTGTGCGCTTCCCAGAGCTGCCAGAGGCCCTGTAAGGACAAGGTGAGTTCCCGCAGGGGCGAGGCGGGAGGAGGAGGGGAGGGGTGGGAGGGGCTGCAGAGTCGGTGTGCTTCACAGAAGCAGGTTGCACTGGCAGCATCTGAAACACCTGATGAGATCACACTGGGCTGCATCCCCAGCCACACACACTTGCAGCGTGGGTCCACTTCTGGGTGACATTGCACCCCAGAGACCTTATCTCCCCCACACTTCCAGCGTGTCTACCCTCCTGAATAGAACATGGCTTTTTTTTTTTTCCAACAAAACATTTCAGATTCTTCAAGGTACAGTTTAAAATTTTTCAACTCCAGATTTTTAAGTAATTTGATGGCGGTCATTCCTCAGGGAATATGGATGGTGTGAACTTCTGAGAAAAACAGACATGACCAAAAAAATCAGTTCTTAATTGATTGAAGGTACCTGTTAACATTCCGGAATCATCAAGAATGTCACAAAGGAGCTAGGTGTGGTGGTGATGCCTGTAATCCCAGCGCTTAGGAGGCTGATGCAGGAGAATCTTGCATTTGACACCAGCCTGGGCTACAGAATGAAACCTTGTCTCAACAAAACAAAGTCTTGATAAACTTACCGTTCCAATTGCTCATTATATTACTTCATATTTAGACTTGTAGTAGCTCCGTGGTTTGAAAATTAGAATGCATAAAATTCCAAAACTGTCCAACTTAACCTTCCGGGTCATACACTTAACATATTTCATACTTGAAGGGGCCAAGCGGTCACTCTGTCCAGACTCCATACGTACAGATGAAGTGACCAAGTGGCTGAGCCCACTCAGGCACAGCTCCCTGGTTCCTGGCAGGTTTCGTGTTAATACTCAGCCCCTCAGTAATGCATAAATGTAGTGCTGGAGGCATTGCTCAGGTGGTAGAGGAACAGCTAATAAGCAAAAGCATCAGGTACCGTAGTTGATCCCAGTCTTGACAAAATAAGTAATTCAGATGTAAGACACCCCACTTCCAGCCAGTCACCCTCCCTTCCTCTTTTATCAGGCTTATTTGAGGCTTGCTATTCATTTTTGGAAACTGAACTCTAGTACAATTGTATTGTAGCCTTTCAAGGGCAGTAGCTGTCAATAATGATAGGAATTGTTTATATATCTTGGTAGCACTGCCTGTGCACTTTGTATCTTTTCTTTTTTGTCATGTCCTTCAGCTCTTCAGCTCTAGGCTAGCGCTCTACCACTTGAGCCACAGCGCCACTTCCAGCTTTCTGGTGGTTCACTTGAGATAAGAATTTCATGGGCTTTCCTGCCCAGGCTGGCTTTGAATTGTGATCCTCACATCTCAGCCTCCAGAGTAGCTAGGATCACAGGCATGAGTTACAGGCACCCAGCTTGCACTTTTGCATCTTTATTCACGTAATAAGAATTTTTCTGGGGCTGGGAAGGTGGCTCAGTGGTAGAGCGCTTGCCTTGCGTGCATGAGGCCCTGGGTTCGATTCCTCAGCACCATACAAGCAGAAAAAGCTGGAAGTGTCACAGTGGCTCACTAGCCTTGAGTTGAAGAGCTGAGAGACAGTGCCCAGGCCCAGAGTTCAGGCCCCACAACTGGCAAAAACAAAAAAAAATTCTATATTCACACCCAGAGATTTTAAAGCATTTTAATAGATAGATGATCTGTGTGAATTGCATCTCCTCTTTCATTTTTCTCTGTTTTTAGAGACGCTTCAGGCTGGCGGCCTGCTGCCACTCTCTGATGCGTTTAAGCAGCACAGTGTTGCCAGCCATTTCTTCTATTTCTCAGGTGCTTTCTTTCCACACCAGCTGCAAGAGCCATGGTTTCCTTTTCAAGTTTTCTCCTCTTCCTGTTTGCACCCGTCGCCACCTTCTCTCTCCCTTCTTCTCATCACTCTTACCAGGTTGCATGTTATCCCTGGCCTTCGCTAGCTTGGGGGCCCGGCGGCCTCTGCCTGCCTTCCAGTGGGCTGTGCAGTGGAACGTGGGCCCTCCTGTGCCCATCTGGCGCCCTGTGATGCCAGGGGAAGCCACAGTAATCCCAACATACGGCCCATAGGACACAGCGTAAGGGCAGAGGCAGCTACTGCCGAAAACGACCTTGGACTTCTCTGCATTTATTCCTGACACTGGTTTGCTGTATTTTCACTTTTGGTGTTTTATAGACCAGGCTGTCTTGGAACTCACTGTGAAACTTGGGTTATCATCAAATTCACAGTTTTTCCTCAGTTTCTCAGGTGCAGGGCTTAGAGGCATGCACAAACCTGCCTGGCTGGTATATTCCTTTTTCTCCAAGCTAATGTATGTAAATGTGTACTCATGCATACGTGTATACCTATATATACACACATGCATATGTACGTTCTCCTCCGCCACCGCCTCCGCCCTCAGTTATTTTTCAGGTAGAGTTTCTGAGTTTTTACCTGGGGCCAGATACATTGACAAGCATGAGCTATCACACTTGGATTTAAAGGCTTGTAAAAAGCTATTTCTTCAGTTACTAAATTAGATACTGATAGTTTAAAAAAAAAAAAAAAGGAACTACTTTCAGAAACTGGTGTTAAGCTGGGTACTGGTGACTCATGCCTGTAATCCTCGCTGTTCAGGTGGCTGAGATCTGAAGATCACAGTTTGAAGCCAGCCAGAGCAGGAAAGTCTGAGACTCTTGTATTAATCACCAAAAAGCCAAACGTGGAGCTGTGGCTCAAGTGGTAGAGCATTAGCTTTGAGCAAAACAGCTAAGGGACAGTGCCCAGGCCCCGAGTTCAAGCCACAGGAGTGGCACCAAAAAAAATTAGTTTTATCGATGATGTGAATCTTTGCTTTTCATGTGGTCTGACAAGAGGGGCTTCCTTTGGGAGCAGTAGTAGAATGAGGAATCGATTTGTTGGTTGTTGGTCATTATAGAGGTGTCTGCAGTCCCATTGGTCATACAGGATATAGAGAACTACATTGCCTGTAAAGACATCATATCTTAATATTCTAATAAATGAAATTTAAAGCCGGGCACTGGTAGCTCACGCCTGTAATTCTAGCTACTCAGGAGGCTGAGATCTGAGGATCGAGGTTCAAAGCCAAGCCCGGGCAGGAAAGACCATGAGACTCCTATCTCCAATAAACCACCAGAAAACCGGAAGTGGCGCTGTAGCTCAAGTGGTAGAGCAGTCGCCTTGAGCTGAAGAGCCCAGGGACAGCGCTCAAGCCCAGAGTTCAAGCCCCATGACCGACAAAAAAAAAAAATATATATATATATATATATATATATATACACACACACACACACATATAACAAAATTCTAAAAAAAAATTATTTTAGAGTTTAGACACTTTTTCTTTCTCAAGTCTGCCCAATGGTTCTAATTGGTACTAAGTGAAACCAGTTTGAAAGGGCAAATTAATTAGGCTGATACCTAAGTTGCATTTTTTTCAGTATTAAAATAACTATTTACGCATTTTACTTATGGACATACTCTTACTGTTTTTCCTTAGCCACTACTACTACTCCCATAGGGAGTTGGGCATGGTAAATTAAGAGGTTTAAACTTAGGAACTTGCATGTTTACATTTACTGTTAGTTAGGCATTCTGATTTTAAATGATTTTTGTGGTAGTATGACCTCAACCAAAATGTTGGCATTATTGGTGGATTTGCTGGTTCATGGCTTCTTTTAGCACAGATTGTCAACGCTGGAGTAAGTAAATGTGTAACACACACGTGGTGTTGAGATGGGGTAACCAGTGGCCCCAGTGTGCTTGGGGCTTTTCCAGTTGTAGTTCTGACATTCCCATACATTGGGAAATCTCATTCCTGTGCGGACTAGGAAAGCTGGTTGCTTAATGTTGAGAGCACATGGATACAGTTACATACATGTGCATGCACGCATGCTGTGCCTCAGGAAGTGAACTGTTTGCATTTTCAGATCTGGCTTTTGCAAGGAACATTGGTACAGAAGAGGAGACTAGAGGTAAAATGCTGAGCACGATACTGAGTATATTAGACTTTGTCAGGAGTATGTTGCCCATTTACTTAATCCAGCCTTTGTCACCAAGCTAAGTGACCTTTTTACCCCTAGGGCAGGAATATGCTCTAGGAATGAACAAAATGTAATATATAACAAGTTACTGAAGTGAAGTTGTAGAAAACACACATGTCCAATTGACTTCATTTCCTCTGTTCACACCTACCCTCTCTCCTCCCTTCTTACTTACCCATGTCTGCCTCTCTCTTGGCTGGCTGATGATAGAACCAAAATCCAAGGCCTTGAGTAACTAGGCAGACACCTTACTTGACCGCTGAACTAGCACAGCCCCAACCCCCAATGTCTTGTTCTTTTTCACTACACAGTAACCTATTTGTACAAAACCTAAAACCTGTTATCTGTTAAAAATTGGATTGCTCGTTTGTTGAATAAAGGGGGTTGGTTGAAAGGGGGTGGTTGGTACTAAGGCTTTGAACTCGGTACTCCAACTGAGGCTGACACCCTTCCACTTAGGCCACACCCCTCTAGCCCTACCTTTTTTTGGGGGGGGGAATCTGGTCATCGGGCCTGGGTGAACTCTGGGCCTGGGCGCTGTCCCTCAGCTCTTCAGCTCAAGGCTGGTGCTCTACCACTTGAGTCACAGCACCACTTCTGGCTTTTTTCTTTTTCCATATGCGGTGCTGAGGAATCGAACCCAGGGCCTCATGCATGCAAGGCAAGCGCTCTACCACTGAGCCACCTTCCCAGCCCCTCCAGCCCTACCTTTTTTGCCTGTTATTTTGGCTTCAAATTGTAGTCCTTCAGATAACTAGCTTTCTGAGTAGTTAGTTACAGGCGTGGGCCACAGCTGAGGCTGTGCTGTGCTGTGCACGCTCCTAAGGCCAAGCAGTCCCTATTGTCTTTCTGTGACGGTGTGTTTTGGGGTTTTTGTTTTGTTTTGTTTGGGTTTGGTTTGGTTTTTTAGTGTTGGTTCTAAAGCTTGAACTAGAGCCAGGGCTTTGTCCCTGAATTGTTTCACTGAGGACTAGTACTCTACCACTGTAGCCACAGCTCCACTTCCATCCAGCCTTTTGGTAGCTAATTGGCTATAAGAGTCTCACAGACTTCTCTGCCTGGGCTGGCTTCGAATCAAGATCCTCAGATCTCAGTCTCCTGAGTAGCTAGGACTATAGGTGTGAGTCACCAGTACTCAGCTCTGTGAAGTTTCTGTATGCTTTTTGTGATTGACAAAGTGCCACTTCAGAAATAAGGAAGGGGAAAATGACAGAACTTAATGTGCAACTGACTCCATTGTGTCTTGAGTTGCCAGCTTGCCACTCCCTGGTCCTTGTCTTAGAGCTTTGTCCTGCTGAATGATCCTGGACCTCTTCAGACAAAAGTGAAACTCAAGTTTGATTGTTAATAGTTGGACATGGCGGGGAAGACTGGCTTTGTGTGAATTGTACACAACCAGCAGATGGATAGAGTCTTGTGGAGGGGAGCAAGGCTCTGGACAAGGGTGTCTGCTGGAGCCACCAAGGCAAAACACTGCATGGAACTTCAGGAAACTGGGATTTAAAAACATAGGGATGGCTTCTCTCGGTAGCAGACACTGTTTGGTGTTGAAGCCTTTATGTCCTCCGGATTAGCATGGACGGGGCCGTGTTGACTGGGGGCAGGAGGCAGGGGTGAAGATGTCTGCACTGTGGAACACTGTGTTACCTCATATGGCTGGCTTCTCGGTCACGGTCCTCTTTGTCCTCGCTCACTCCACAGCGCCTTTGGTCTAGAGGGCACCTCTCACGTGCACACGGCTTGCTCGAGCAGTGGTCTGCACTTTCTAGGGTGTGGTGCGTGGGGAACCGTTTCGGGAGTCTCATGGCCTGCCTGAAAGAAGCTGCCCCGTGACTCGGGCGACGGCTTCAGGATTTTTTTCTTTCTTTTTTTTTTTGTTGTTGTTGTGATACTAAATCAGGGCCTGGTCTTGGCCAGGCGGCTGCACTACCACGCGAGCCACACCTGCAGCACTTTGGCTTTGGGTTGTTTTTCAGAAAGGGTCTCGCCTTTTTGCTGGGGCTATGCTCAGACCACATGCCTCTCACCTGTGCCTCTCTGTACCTGTGGTGCTGTTCCACCACTGCCCAGGGCATTGGTTCAAAGGAGGCTTGCTAACTTTTTTCCCCCAGGCTAGCCTCAAACCAGGATACTCCCAATTTCTGCCTCCTTAATAGCTAGGATTACAGATATGAGCCACTGCACCCTGCCTGAGTTCAGTCAGTTTTATACTATAACATGACCTCTTAAGATCTAGAATTCTAGAATAGGAACTTTAAAAAAAAAAAAAAACCAAAGTGATTATTATTATTTTATCAAGCCAGAAGTACTGATGTGATGCTGGGTAAGTATTACAGGACACAGAAGCTAATTTGGAAACAATTCCTTTCCCTGAGTGAAGCTCGTTTACCTAGCCAAGACATCCTTTGCTGTCTCCCCTGAGCTGCCTGAGGAGCTTCTGTGATCGCCTCAGACTCCTTCCTTGGCTGCGAAACTGAGCATAGCACATAGGTGCAGTGGCTGCTGTATTGCCAGCAGAAGCGTCAGCCTCATGCGGGGAGAGGTAGAGTAGCTCCTTTCATCTTGAAGGTTCTTGTTTGCAGACAGGTATAAAAGCTGCCACAATCACTTTACAAATATAATAGGCAAACGTTAACTTTGCTGCTAGCTCTCAGTCCAAGGTTTAAAGTGGCCAGACCATAGTCCTCTGCAGGCCTTCGTCATCGTGGTGCCCTCCGAGGGGTCAGAGGTGGCCTGGCATTGGCCACTGGCACCTGTCAGTTTTCCAGACTAATTGTAAACCTATAGTGTTGATTGATCTGTGTCTTTGACTATTTGTGATTGGTTAATTTGTAAGATTTGACCTCTGATCTTTACTAACTTTTTATAGGGAGTTGTATTTGTAACAGAAGAAGAGAAGAATAAAAAATAGTAGTTTTAAAAGTGGCCTTTGTGACTGCTTTTCTAAAAAGGTATTTAATGCTCTTAGTACTTTGGCTTATCTCTTTGAACTAAAGCTAACACACAGGATTGCCTTCACACGTTGTCCTCCTCCTTTCTTCATTGATAATTCCATTGTCTTTAGAGCCTAGAAGTTGTTCGTACTAGTAAGCTACTTGGCTGCTCTGTTAGACGTTTCCTTCTTGTCAAGTTCTCCTGCACATGTTTCTGCCTCACACGGAGCCCCAGGTATTCATGAGGTGATGGAGTGCCTATGAGGCCTACTTCTGTGGACACACTATGGTAGAAGATATTTTGGGGTGTTAACTTCTCAGCTTCTTTCTGTGAAAATAACCCCAAAGCAGCCATTCTGTCTGCGGACATCCCAGTTGTTTGCTGTCATTGAAGCCAAGAAAGCTTTGTGGTTTGCTCTGGTTCTAGGCTCCCTGTGGTGTAACCGGAACATTCCCCACCCTTGTTCTTGTCTTCCTCAGGTGGACTGGGTGCAGTGTGACGGTGGCTGCGACCAGTGGTTTCATCAGGTGTGTGCTGGGGTGTCTCCAGAAATGGCAGAGAGCGAAGACTACATCTGTATAAACTGTGCGAAGAAGCCGGGGCCGGACAGCCCGGGCCACGCGGCACCTCCCGCCTTCATCATGAGCTACAAATTACCAATGGAGGACCTGAACGAGGCCAGTTAGCAGATGCTGGCTTAGTTTGGGACACGGGGGGCTTGAACCACACTGAGATGTTTAGTCATCAAGTAGAGTGGTTTCGATCCACTCGGAATGTCGCTTCCAAAGATGAGTGGCCTTCAGAGAAAGTGCTCCTAAGTGCTGCGTTCCTCCCCATGGGGCTGTGTGGGCTCCGCTGTCCCACGGGGCGTGTCTGCGGAGGGCGCCGCCCAGGGTGCAGCAGCCAGTGTCCAGCGCTCGTCTCCTTCACAGTGACCTGAGTTCAGGTCAACACTTGGGTGGGCTGGTGGCCCTGGCACATGGCCGTGCTAGCAGACATGCAGGGGTGGCTTGTAGCTAGCTGGTGTTAGGGAGAGACCTGCAGGCAAGCGGCAGTACCATCTCAGGGTGCTGATTGCTTCCATCTACATAGTTGGGATTGTCAGAGAGGAGACAGGGCACCACTTGGCTTCTGCTGTTAGCTGGCATTTCATGTTCTTACCGGGTCAGGTAGGAGCACCGGGCCGAAGTGACTCTTGAGAGAAGTCATGGCACAGTCGCCAGCCGAGACCTGAGCGTGTGCCTTCCCTTCGTGCAGAGTGGGGGTGTCAATGAGACGGAATGGACTCGGGGAAGACGAGTTCTTCTTAATCTCAAGACAGGGAGCCTGCTTCTGGCTTTGAATCTACACTTGAGAGCGGGAACGTGGTCCAGGCTTCTAGAAAGAAGACGACTGGTAATCAGATCGAGTCTCAGCGATGCATGCTCCCCGGAAACCTCCACATGCAAGTGTCACACACCACCAGGCTTCCCGCATGGCCACGGGCAAGACCGGCACACAGCAGCTCTTTGCCTTGCGCCCCTGCGTCTGCGTCTGCGCCGCACGCAGCTTCTCGCCATGGCCGCGGCGACGCTGCTGGGCACGCACAGCTGCGTCAGAAGACGGGGGGCCTGTCGTACCTCTGGGTGATGAAGTTGTTTTAGTAAATCCATTTCTAAAAAGAAACAAAAGGACTTGTTTTTACTTTTTCTAAATGTCTCTATGACTACTGACTGTTGTATAAATAGATTATTTTTCCTTTTTTGATATGCACATACGGATATATAAATACATATATATATTTACTGTTACCAGCAGCATATGTAGTTTGGTTCGGGAGCTTGCTTTCCTCCGTCTTGTGGTTTGATAAATCCCATTGCTTCCTTGTGGTGCAGTCCTCGCCCGTCCCCATCTTCCGTCTCCCGTTGTTTTGCTCAGATGGTTGCGTTTGCACGGGCGGACGTGGCTCTGTTCACTGGCAGGAAACGGGCTTTCTCCTCTCTGCTGGCTGGTTTCCGTCGTATGTGAATGTTTGTGTCTATGGTGCTGCGTCCTCTGTGTCTCCCTCCTCCTCCAGGTGTCGGGAGCTGTATGTAACTGTCAGAAGGGGGTTAACATTTTTTTAAGGACAAAAAAATTACTAAAAACAGTGTTTTGCTTTACTGTCCTGTGTCCTTTTGTTTTGGTTTAAAAGTATGTGGTTTGACTTCAAATTCATGCCCTGGTAAAAGGAGGTGATGGGAGGGAGGCCTAGAACCCATTGTAGTCTCTGCCTGTCTGCCCGTTTGTTTTAAAGAAGTATCTTATAACTAGAAGTGAAATGAACTGTCCAGTCGCAGTGTGAGTGGGTACCAGATTTAACTCGGAAAACATCTAATGAAAACTAAAGAGGCTCCTATAAAACCCAGTTTCTGTGGTTCACGCTCCCTATTTTGATTTTTTGTTGTCATTCACTCTTCCCTTAATGCTAGGTAACAGTTTAAATACTCTGGCCTATTATGAGAGGCCCGGAAGTTGTAACACGCGTGTCTTGAGATCCTAAACTCAGTATGTGACTTAGGATTTTAATAAACATTATGAGGTAACTAGCTGATTTCATAAAAGATTATCGTCACTTAATGAAAAATTGCATGTAGTTGATGTTACAGAGGAAGCACTGTGTGTGTGTCTTTGAAAAGGATTCAAACAACTGCCTTGAACTCCAAGAGTTAAGTTTTAAAAGCTGGAGTGCAAGCCGGGCGCTGGTGGCTCACACCTGTAATCCTAGCTACTCAGGAGGCTGAGATCTGAGGATCGCGGTTCAAAGCCAGCCCGGGCAGGAGAGACCGTGAGACTCCTATCTCCAATAAACCACCAGAAAACCGGAAGTGGCGCTGTAGCTCAAGTGGTAGAGCGCTCGCCTTGAGCTGAAGAGCTGAGGGACAGCGCCCAGGCCCAGAGTTCAAGCCCCACGACCGACAAAAAAAAAAAAAAGGAGAAAATAACAAATCAGAGTGCGATTTGTGAATTACAATTGTGGGAAATTTGAGCAGTTCATTCAAGCTTCATTAGCTTCAGCTATACATAGAAAGTTGCTTTGGTGGGAGGTCCTTCAGTATACTTTGAAAAAAAAATGGTATGTGTGCTGGAACTGAGGTTTGAACTCAAGTCTTAAGCATTGTCCCTTAGCTTTTTTGCTCAAGGCTGGTGTTCTGCCAGTGGAGCCACAGTGCCACTTCCAACTTTTTGGTGATACAGGATAGTCTCATGGGCTTTTCTTGCCTATGCAGACTTCAAACCTTAACCCCTTAGATCTAGTCTCCTGAGTAGCTAGGATTACAGGTGGCACCCCCAGCACCCATCTGAAATCACATTAAAGCATTACCATTACTGCGTCAGCTATGGACTGCCAAGGGGTGTTGGCAGCATGGGTGGGTGTTAGAGACATCCCTTGTCCTTGATTATGTCCAGTCAACACTTAACACGTCTTGAGGTGTCCACTGGGAAAGGATATGGTGAGTTCTTTCTAATTTGTCTTTGTTGTGGTTGGTGGTGTGCAGAGGTTACCGTTGCCTTCGTCGGGTAATGAGTAAATGTTTTGGACAGTGTCACTCCTGTGATGGGTTCTTAAAGCTGTTTCCTGCTTGCATTTCTTCTTGCTTTTAGAAACCTGAATACTGCCTTGTGACTTTTTTCCCCTTACTGACAATTTTCTAGGGTTATTGGTGATTTAATCCAAAGTATAACTTGACCTCTTGATTTTTTTGAGCATGTTTTGCTTCTTACATTTTCTGAAAGGTTACTAGGTAGAATTAATTACACCTACACCGTATAGTACATACATACATTTATGGTGCTGTTCCTAAGCTGTGGCTCACAGCTGTCATCCTAGCTACCGAGGAGGCTGAGAACTGAGGATCATGGTTCAAAGCCAGCTCAGGCAAGAATATCTGTAAGGCATCTCAAATTAACCAACAGAAATGGGAAGTGTGCAACATGCTGAAGTACTTACTATCTGAGCAAAAAAAAAATTCAGGGACAGAGCCCAGATGCCAAGTTCAAGCCCCACAACCAAAAGTAAAAATAGTGTGTGTGTGTGTGTGTGTGTGTGTGTGTGTGTGTGTGTGTAAGTGCTCAGGTTCCCCAGCTCGCTCCCTCATCATTTACAGCGGTGAGCACCTTCAAACATCACCAAGCAAAAGTAAAAAGTTCGGTGGTAAGCACGGTGTCCCCAGGCAAGCTCTTGTTCTCACTCGCTCCTCACTGAAGCATACGTGAACTGGGGTCATGTGATGAGCGCTGTGATCCGCGGATCACTGCTGAGAATACTGTTGCTGGAGAGTGAAGGTAGAAGCACGTTTGCTTCCTGAGATGTCCTTTTGCAGCAGGCTGGCAACAGGGAAGACAAATGCTTGGCCTTTTCCGTGGCTTCCTGATGCTCACCAGCAGTTCAGACCTTAGGCTACTTCAGAGAGGCAAATGTTCCCCTTCCTCCCCCAACCCCCCCCATTGCAAAGGTTACCAGGCTGTACAAGTATTAGGGACAGGTTACTGCTGAAAGTGTTACAGCTTTTTCTTTTTGGTCCTAGTCAGGGACTTGAACTCAGCACCTAATGCTTTTGCTCATTGGTTAGTGCTCTACCAGCTGAGCCATGTTTCCCACCCCGAAAGCATCATGCTTCTGCTTAAAACTGGAAGCCTTTGAGTGTTTATGAATTGGGAGGAAAGTTGGTGGAAAGAGGGAAGGGAAAACCATCTGGTTATCTCTTAACTGGGAAAATACTTTTCTTGCCAGCAGCAGAGATAATTTGAGGTTTCACAAGATGATAGTCCTTTTTTCTTAGTAAAAATTATTTACAGTCCTGGTTTCAATAATGTTTCTCAGACTGCGCATTGTGGCTGGTGGCCAAAAAATAAAGTTTAAAAAAGGAATATTCAGCGTTTCTTCTTGGTTGATAAAGATTGTACATGATGAACACAATTATTAATGTGCAGCATTAATAAACCTCAGTGATTTTGTCATTTCTTGGCTTTTCTTACCTGTTTGCTTATAAAGGCATATTTCTACTCTAATTTGGTAGGAAGATAGGAGCTTAATAGGAGCTTTTTTTGGGGGTCCGGTCGTGGGGCCTGAACTCTGGGCCTGGGCGCTGTCCCTCAGCTCTTGAGCTCAGGGCTAGCGCTCTACCACTTGAGCCACAGCGCCACTTCCAGCTTTTTTTCTTTTTGCTTATGTGGTGCTGAGGAATTGAACCCAGGACCTCATGCATGCAAGGCAAGTGCTCTACCACTGAGCCATCTTCCCAGCCTGGAGCTTAATATTTAAAAAAAATTTTTTTTTATCTTAAAGCTGATATACAGAGAGGTTACAATTCTAGAAAATTAATATTTTTTGGAAGTTCCACGAAGTTCATTGGTCAACTCGATTTCAGGATCAAGTCATCTGGCTTTTAGTTTTATATGTGACCTTACCCTACCTAACTATTTAGAGGTCATGATTTTCTACACGGGTTAGTTGACATGAATCTTAGGGAAATTAAGGTATAGCCACTGTCTTTGACCAAGGAAGGACACAGGCTGGTTTTAAGGATGTTTCTCCCTCAAGAGGTTTTAGACTTCATAGAGGTAAGTAGTCCAGCCCCTGCGTGGAAGAAACATTTACCCAGAACCCTTGACTAGCCTTTGCTGACTGTGTCTGTTCTACTTGTAGACTAAGCATTGTTCACGGTTGTCTAGTCTTCCATTTGGATCTGCATTATGCAGAGTTCATCGGGCCTCTCCATACCCAGCACCAGTACATCTTTCCCCGTGGAGGTAAGTTGGGAACAATTCACATTTGGACAGGCCCTCCCCAATTGAATTGGTACCTGATTCCAATAAGACACTTGTGTGTGCGTGTACGTGCACACACACACACACAATGGAAGTCAGTGTCATTGCTTTGAAGGTGGGCTCTTTTGCTTGAGCTTGCAGCTTCTGAGGACAGACACCCCTTTGGTCTTTGGCTTCACCCACCTAAACCAGACCTGGATGGTTAGGACGGAAGAGACAAGCGCAGCAGAATCTCCATGAAGGTACAACGCACTCCCTGCATCTACCCCATGAATTGTGGTAGATGAAAAGTCAAAGAAATAAATAGAAACTCCAGTTGGGCAGGTGGCTCACACCTGTAATCCTAGCTAATCAAAAGGCTGAATTCCACCAGCTCACACTTGTCATCCCAGCTACTCAGGAGGCTGAGATCTGAGGATCGTGGTTTGAAGCTAGGGAGGGCTAAAAAAGTTGGTGAGATTCTTTATCTCCAGTGAACTGCCAAAAACCAGAAGTGGAGCTGTGGCTTAAGTAGTACAATACTAGCTTTGAGCAGAAAAAAAAAAAAAAAGTGCATGAACAGCACCCAGGCCCTGAATTCAAGCCCCAGGTCTGGCACAAATAAGTATACTGAAGCTTAAAAAACAACAACAAAAAACAAAGTAGAAATGAAAAACATATTGCCTCCTCCCAGTTCTAGTAGAACTACTATTAACTGTCCAATTAATTGTTGTTTGACTTTATATATGATGGGGGTACGGGGAGGGGAGGCAGTGTGGATTTGATTTCTGACATCTCAGTAATTGTTTATATTGTGTTCTAAGTTATTGTCCTTTGCCTGGTGCTGGTGGCTCACACCTGTAATCCCAGCTGAGATCCCAGGGTGGCTGAGATCTGAGGATTTTGGTTCGAAGCTAGCCCACACGGGAAAGTCTGTGAGACTCTTATCTCCAATTACTCATCAAAAAGCTAAAAGTGGAGCTGTGGCGTACGTGGTGGGCCACCAGCCTTGAGCAAAAAAGCACACAAGCCCTGAGTTCACGGCCCTCTTGGACTGACACAAAAAAATCTAAGTAAAAATAAATTATTGTCCTTTCCAGCTTGGAAACGGTAAAAGGTAACATAGAAGTGCTTTTTAAATCATCTATCCAGCACTTGGTCCAAGAAACACCACTTCTTAATGGGTTCATAGGAGCACTTGAGCTGTGGGGATGGGCAGAAGGCAGAAAGGTAGATTCCTCCAAAGGAAAGAAAAGGTGGCACCCTAAGATAGCTTATAAGCCACTGGCCTGCCCTGCCAGGATATGCACACAATCCCACTGTGAATCACCAGTGTGAGGATTGTCTGGTGGCTGAGGAGAGGGGAGGGCCGG